TCGAGTCGTTATCCTCAAATGCCTGTCAATTGACGAGCACTCCCACTTTGTGGGTGCTGCATCAGCCCGCGCCCTCTGGCTCGCTATCCTCGCTAGGTACTCCACCCCGTCGTCTGCCACTCTTGGTCATCTCCTCCCTTTCTTCCATCCCAACCTGGCATCCTTCACCACTGTAGAACACTTAGTCGAGCACCTGCGCTCCCTCGTGGTCCGCGGACATATGGCTTGTACAGAGGCCTAGCTAGCGCTCGCCCCGCCCCCCCTCTTCGCCACTATCTAATTCCTTGTCACCCGCCTCCCTGACTGCCTAACCCCTGCCCGCGACGCGCTCCTCGCTCGTCACCCCCCTGAGCTCATCCTTGACCTCTTCTCCACCTCCCTGACTAAGGTAGAGGATCGCCTCCGCGCCATTGCTGGTTCCACTGGTGCGCCGGCAGTCCCTATCTTTCAAGGCAACGCTCCCTCCCCAGTGATAGTACCTGCCTCCGCCTTTGTAGCTGAGACCGCAGCGGCTACCTCTGCCCCTGGCCGCTCCTCTGGCGGCAAGGGCAAGTGGGACAGGGGTCGTGGGAGGTCGGCAGGAGTGGGTGGAGAGGGTGCGGGTGCGGACGGAGAGGGTGGTTAGTCAGAGTTGGGGACTGCGTAGCAGCAGCAGCAGCACCCACAGCAGCAGCAGCAGTACCTGCGGTAGCAGCAGCAGCCGTAGCAATCGTGGGGCCCGGCGGGCTCTGGGGGTGGTGGTCGTGGTGGAGGCCGTGGGGGTTGGGGCCCATGGCAATCGGTGCCCTTGGGGTCACGTGGTTCTTTTTTGAGTCACGGTGCTGGTGGTTTTGGTGGTGCGGTGACCTGCACGTACCAGCTGCTGACTGCCCCTTAGGCGGTCCAGGTGTGCAGGCGCGTGGGGCACACCGCCGCTCGCTGCTTCCGCCGCCTGGACGACCTCTAACGTCGTCAGTTCGGCCCGCTGGTGAAGGTACCCCCCTTGCCCATCTTGCTTCGTCGTGGGGTTCCTATCTTTGATATGGATATGAGTTAGATTGATCATGCGTTGTACTCGCTGTATTCTGATGCTTCTAGTATTGCTGGATCATATTCTCTTGTTGTTTGTAGCCTTGGAGCTACTACTTTGTGTAGTCTAGGATCCCCTGCTGTGTCAAGCGTAGACTCCCTTGCTGCGTCAGGCGTAGGACCTGTTAGAGACTCTTCACTGGCCCCGCCACGTTGACCCTCTCATTTGTCCTAAACTCTGGAGCGTCTCGGTGCTTTTTTCGAGACAGTATTGCTCTCATCCCGCTTCCTGCGCCTGTCCGCATTGCACTAGCAGACTCCTCTGCGACAGATATCGCAGGAAGCACCACCAATATCTTCTGTCCAACTGTCCCTTCCGCCTCCCTCACCGGTCTGCACATCTCCTCGTTTGCCATGAACCTAGTGGGTGTCGGTCACCTCCAAGACCGAAGTGTCACCACTACGTTCCCTGGCCGCGAGAGAAACGTCACTTGTACACACACAGCCACCGGTCCACACTTAGCCACTTTTGAGCGTGACCCTATGTCAGGTCTCTTTACACTGCACATTGAGTCCTCGCCGGCTGCTGCATCTTCCAAGGTCGCCGCGTCCTGCTCCTGTCGCTCACTAGCTCACCCGACCCTTTTGTGGCACCAACACTTAGGTCACCTTGCACTCCCGTGACTTAGGCACATGTCCCAGCACGGTCTAATCACTGGTCTCCCAACATCGCTCCCCGCCCTTCCTCCGTCAGTAGAGCCAGTGTGCACCTCCTGCGTCGAGGGCCGGCAGTGCGTCGCCCCTCACCCCTACTCGTTTCCTCCTACCACAGCGCCATTAAACAATCTTAGCCTCAGTGTACGTAGACAATCTTATCTTTGCTACTCCTGACAGAGTCGCACTAGCAAGTAACTCAGCCTTCACTGGTAGCAAAGATAAGAGTATGACACACTCCCATATGGTGCAGCAGATCCTCCGGAGGTTTAGTCCCCAGTTCTTCTCAGCACAGCCCACCCCTCTGCGTGTGGATCATAACCTGTCTGCTTTTTTTCTGGCTGAGCGGGTCGAGGCTAATGGTCCATACGCATAGCTGATGGGGTGCCTCATGTGCCTGATGACCTGCACTAGATCAGATCTAGCGTACCCTCTCAGTCTCCTGGCTCGCTTTGTTGCTACAGGCAGGCACTGACCAGTCCACTGGTCAGCTGCCAAGAGGGTACTGCGGTATCTTGCAAGTACATCCAGACTGGGGCTTGTGTTAGGAGGACGGGAGCCAGTGGTGCTCACTGGACACAGAGACGCATTGTGGGTTGACGACGTGGAGACGCTCAGGTCGTGGGTGTCCCCCTTTCTTGGTGCTAGTGTAGTCTCGTGGAGGTCCACCAGGTCGTCGTCTGTAGCACAGTCCAGTTGTGAGGCAGAGATCTAGGCTGGGGCCATGGCCGCTCAGGAGCTCCTCTGGCTGATGTTCTTGCACATTGACTTGGGTGAGCAGCCTAGGTCTGCCCCGGTCCTGTTTGCTGACAATATGGCCATGATCCTCCTGTGTCAGGAGGCTCGACTTGAGGACAGGGCGAAGCACATCCAGCGGCGGTACTTCATGCTGCGTGAGTTGCAGTAGCGCGGCCAAGCTTGTGTGGTACAGTTGGCCTCTGACCGCTGATATCTTCACTAAGGAACTTGCGCCTCGTGACCATCAGCGATTCTGTACTCAGCTTGTCTATTCTCCGTAGTAGCACCACTCCTTATATACTAAGTCATATTATATATGCTTGTACGTGTTGTTCTATACCTGCATGCCTTGCTATTCGTGCTGATTAGCCTTCTGGCCTCTTGTCTCAGTGGCCAGACTAGTAGTGGTGCCCTGGTGTACTCTACCTTGCTATTAACTGCTACTATCTAGGCTAAAGGGTGTGTCAACAAATATATTTATATAGATTAGCTAGGTCCTATTTGTTTATAGCCTAGCGAGTTTAGTTCTTAGCGAGTACAGCCCTGGTTTTGTATCCTTCGACATTTTCCCTCAGGCACACTTTCCCGCTACTCCAACAACTCGTTGTCAAGAGATCCACTAAGGCCGGTTTAGAAGATTCTCGAAAGGGCCACAGGCTGCAATGCCGGGAGGCTATAGGCACGTTGACCAACTACTCGATAAGTCCCTTTAGCATAGTGGTTAGCGGTTGTGCTTTCCGAGATGGTACCAGAGCGGAGGTCTCGCGTTCGAATCTCAGTGAAGTGCCATGCAGAAGTGCCGAGTGCTCTGCCTACCCCAGCAAGGGGGGGTGTCGAGACCCACTGGGTCGCCGTAGAAGATCCTCGGAAGGGCCACAGGCTGCTATGCCTGGGGGGTTATGGGCACATCGACCCACTACTTAACAAGCTCTTTCAATACAGTGGTTAGCAGCTGTGCTTTCTGAGAGGGGAAGCGATTTTTATCATGATGAGACAACGTAGATGATTTATTCACATACGTTCTGTTCACAACTTGTGCTCCGCTGCAATGACTGTGCAAGCCATGGAGATGGCGTGAGAGTTTGAAGTTGCAACGTTGCTATACTTGGTAGAAGAAACGACTGTTGGCATTGTATGAAAAGCTCTTTGCACCTTCAGATGTGTGATGGCTCGTTGAGGTGGCATGATGCATGCGGTGCTGATGCAGAACTGATGTCACGTAGTGCTACGTGGAGCATAGTGATCGGAAGCCCTCGAATTTCAACAAATGAGATCACCCATATTTGCTGAAGTGGACAAGGCTACGCAGCACCGGCCACCTGTATGTTCTCACGGTAGAGATTGAATGGTGCGATTTCAATGATTTGCTCGGATTGCTGCGGGGGTGGTCGTATTTTATGAAAGGGTGCTGTTTTGATTTGCTTCCAACATGAAGTGTATTGGGATTGGGAGATGGGATGTTCCGGGCCAGTGTTTTGGCCTTTTTTAATTCCAATTTCCCGCCCCTTTTCTTCTTGGGGAGTAGGGTGAAGGGGAATGTTTTCCATTTATCTGTTCTTCTCTGGTTCAAAGATTGCCTACTGTGAAAACCTCACACCTACCCGCGATTGTTTGGGTTGCGATGGACGCCATTGCCAAAAAAATGCCAGGACTGGCCGTTCGTGCTCACACTGCGCTGAACGGTTGCGTGTCGATGTGGTCCGACCTGGTTTGGTCACTGCTCATGCTGACGGTGGTTATCCACCCGCATCTGTCAGATTCAGTGTGACACCGAGCCAAGGTGGCTGTCGGCCCTCGTGGATGTCGAATTCATGGTGCAGCGTTGGCGAGTTGCCACGCAGATCAGCCTCCTGCTTATCTGTCAGCTGCCTGTGAGTTGAGAAGGTCTCCCAGGCTAGTGGTACTTCCCCTCCATGTGGCTTTCACCCATTCGAGATAAGAGTCCTTGCTGACTAGGGGCATCACCACCGGTGAGCATCAATGACCAATCGGCTACCTTGGCGGGTGTTCCAGCATCCGTGCAGCCAAAACTCCTCCACGCGCACATCCACGTCATCCACTTCCCCACTGACTGCTCAACTCTCCTCGACGAGTTTGCTTGCAACTATCTTCCAGACGGCCAGAATGCATAGCAGATACTGTAGACGTTCAGCCAACCGCGCTGTCGTCAATCTCACCAGCTTTCTCTGAAACCCTAGGCGGATAGCCGTTTCCCAAACCTCAAGGCGGCGGCGTTCCCTGGGGCATGCCTCCAACCAGGCCTCCGAGCCTATTGGTGGCTCCGTTCGGAGAACCTCCTGATCTGGAGTTGGGGGGAGAACCACCCCCTCACCCACCTCCCCTTTCCCCTCACACACCCTCCCACTTCCCCCTTCCCCCTCTCCCCCGCACCTGTCCCTTCTTCCTGTTCCAACTTCCACCCGAACCAGCCCAGCCCAGCCCAGCCCAGCCCGCCTCCCTACCTGCTTGCTGCCATCGATCACCTCAGCCTCTTCCTCCTGCTGCCTACTTTTTTTCCAAACCCTTGCTCATTAGCCGTCATTTGTCGTCCTAGGTGTTGGGAAGCTGGGGTCGTTTCGTTTGTGCTCTTTTCACAGTTAATCCAGCTCGCTTTAGCACACTCTATGCAGATCGCGGTGCTCGCTTGTGAGGATGTCTTTCCGGACTGTGCTGCTGTCCACCGGTGCCTTGGATCTCTTCCTTCTGCTGTCGCTTTCAGCGTCCCGTTACCGCGCACTAGTTCCTGCCATCAGATAGTCGCCAGTCAGGAGGAGCAGCAGCGGCGGCGGCGTCGATTTAAGAGTAGTTACCCTCGGCGCTGCGAGTCGAGGGAGTTATCACCCCGAAGATCCGTCCAGAATCCCGAGCGTCAATCTTATCTCAGACTGTACAAAGAGCGTTAATATTCGTTAATATTCCCCTCTGTGAATAGGTCCTCTCCCGCTAGCGCGGCGCTCGCGTCTCCAGATCCGTTTTGCTGCCGCTAGGCCTTAATTAGGTTCCTTCCCGGAGCCCTTCATTTCTGATAATTCCTTACCCTGATCATTCCTGGTCAGTTCGAAAGCAGCCATGCTCGAACACATGCTCTCGACGGCGGCTCTCATGCCGTCTCAATCCGTCTCCGGCGCGGATCCGGGAACTTCCAGGTGGAAGCGGTCCCGGAAACTCACTCCGAAGGCCCTTGCTCTTCACGCCAAGTCGATCTCCCTCCACGCCAAGTCACTCGGACTGAAAAAGCTCGCTCCCCACGCGAGCCAAGTCTCCCTGTTCTCCAATTCGTCGACGTCGACAGTATACAGCAAAAAGATCTTAAGGGACTCGTCAGGAAGAGTGTCCGGCATCGCGATGGGCATCCGGCAGTCCATGCGCGTGGGTCGTCTGCACCACCACCATCGGCAGGTCGGCTCTACGGTGGTTACTGCAGCAGTCGAGGCCGTTTCGGGAGAGGGAATCGCTGCGGAAGTGTCCAGGCTCGAAACGGCCGTTCAATCCGGGAAAGGTCAGTTGAGTAAACTGGGAGTAGGAGTGGGAGGTGGGATGAACTTGGGCTTGGAAAACGCGGCTGATTTTGTTTACGCGGAGCTGGACGCAGCGAGAGCTCTGGCAACCATTGGAACGGTGTGCCTGTGCTCGGGAGACTCGGGGGAGTTCCGAGAATTCGAGGATTCGGATGGGTCCGTTTCGGTGGAAAGGCAAGCGGCGAGCGAGTCGGTGGTCAGGGAGACGTTTTCGAGCAGTTTAGTCGGCGGGAATGAAATATGCGAGCAGTTTGACTCGAGGAAGGCGGATGCTGAGAGCGTGTTCCAGAGCGTACCGGGGACTGGCGTTTTGCCTGATCCTTGCTCGTTCGCGAGCGGTAGTGGTGGGGGTCGTGGTGGTTTCGGTTATGCTGGTGCTGGTGCTGGTGCTGATGATGCTGGTTGTTTCAGCTCGCTGCGTGGGAAGCACGTAGGTGTGGCTGTTGCTGACGAGGGCGAGGGCGTTGCCATGCGTGCAGTGCGGGACGTGCGGGACGTTACGCGGTGGCTCACCAAACGGAAGAGGACGGCCAGCCGCGTGCGTCGCGCGCGCAACCTGCGCTCGAGGAACGACCTGGTGATTCGCCTCGTGCGGGACCTCTGCGATCGCAAGCTCGCGACGGCTGCTGCTGCCGCGGCTGCTGCTGCTGCTGCTGCTGCTGCTGCTGCATCATCGGTTGAGGGATGTGGGCGTGGTGCTTCAGCGATCGCTGCTGGTCCTGGCGCTGGTGGTGCCGGTTCTTACGGCCGTCGGCTGCGAGATGCGTCGGCTATGCAAGACAAGGTGCGTTGCTGTTATGAGAGCTGCTTTCTTATCGTTCGCACATCATGGCGTTCGTTTCTTCTTGTTGCGCTGTTTTGGAACCGGAACCTTGCACCGCCGCAATTGGATGCCAAGAACGTTAATCCGAACGAGTTCCGCCTGGCTGCACGTTCAGTCTCAATTAACACGAGAATTCAATATCACCTCCTTTTTCTCACCGCCTTGTCGTGGTTCTGGTCTTGGTTGCGCAGGAGTTTTCGCTGGGAGCGATGCTTGTGGTGGCGCCCGTGGTGCGGGAACACTTTCGCCTCCCTGACGCGCTGGCGTGGAAGCAGCAGCTGCAGCACCACCAGCAGCAGCAGCACCAGCAGCAACCACCATTCTCGGAGCAATACACGGTCGGAAGCGGCGACGACGCGGTGAGCAACGCGGGAGTTGCTTCGTGGAGTGAGGGCTGTTACGAGAACGATGCTGGTGGTGGTGGTGGTGGCGCCACGCGTTGCACTGGTTTCCGTGGCTGGACTGGCGGGGGAGGCGAAGAGAGCGACGGTGCGAATGTCGTGACTGTGGAAGTGGGAGTGGGTGGTGGGTTTGGCGGGGCTGGTAGCGCCGGCGGAACGGTGGTCGTGCCCGTGGGTCCGCTGCGGGTTGTTATGGTCGATGCTTCTGCTACTGCTGCTGCTGCTGCTGGTGATGATGATGCTGATGATGATGCTGCGGCTGCTGACGTGTCTCTTCATGCTGCTACTGCTGCTGGTGTTGCGGATGGTGCTACCGATGGTGGTGGTGCTGCTGATGGTGGTGCCGTTGACACCGTTCTTACTTACGCGGATGCCGAAACTCGGGCTCCGCTTTTCACCCAATTTGTCGATGAATCAACCCTGGCCGCTGCTCGCCCGCGAGGCCTGGACGCGGGAGCGCCAGAGGTGTCTCAGCTCTCAGGAATGCCGGGAGTGTCGGGAGTGTCGCAAGTGCCTGCAACGAGCGGAGGTTCCAATGTGCTAGTTGCGAAGGTTGCGGCGGCTGTTGCGGAAGGGGATGGGGAGAGTGAAAAGACGGAGGAGGAAGGGTTGGAGGACGCGGCGGGAGGGCGAGGTGATGGGGAGGTGGTGATGGGGTGTGCGGAGGAGGAAGAGGAGGACGAGGACGAGGAGGAAAACAAGGAACTGATTGAGAATCTCTTGCAGTTTAAGAGAAGCGCCTCGCGCGAGGCACTTCCAGCGCTGACTGCAGCGGTGGCGGCGGCGCCTGCTGTTGGTGCGGTGGCAGAGGGGGGCGGGGTGGAATATGGAGAGGCTGAGGCTGGGTACGCGAGCAGCGAGGGCGAAGGCATATCGTCGCACGAAGACGCGGACATGCACGAGGCTGACGCTGCGACTGCGGCTGCGACAGCTGTGACTGCTGCGACGGAACGACGCCCCGGAGTGGTCGCACTTGGGATCGTGCAGATGGCGCGCGGAGTCGCACAGCAGGTTGCGCGCGAGGTCGCGGTGGTTCAGACATTGGCGGGGGGGCTGTGCGACGGGCTGGGCGACGAGCTGGGTGAGGGAGCGACTCTGGAAGTGGCAGTGCAGGGTCTGCTTCCTGGAAGCTGCGCGTTGAATGAAGTGGCAGTGGTGCCGGTGGTGTGCATCAACGACGTTGCAGGCGACGCGGGCGATGCTGACGACGCGAATGACGCGAACGGCGTTCGTATGACCATTCATCGTGCTGCGCCTTACAGTCCTGCTGCTCCCCGTCATGTTCCTGTTGTTGCTGCTGCTGTGGCTGCTGCTGCTTTTGGTGCTGCTACTGGCGGCGCTGCTGTTGTGCACTACGAAGTGCCATGCGAAGGAGAGGCGGTGGTTTGTAACCCGGTTACCAGCAAGCCGGACGGTCCGTGTAACGATGACGGTCGTGTGACTGGGGAGCCGTCGGATGCTGGTGGCAACCCGTCCGAGGTTACCGAGAGCCAGGAAACGCCGCAACTCGAGGTGCGCTCGCGTGCTTGCTCGTGGGCTTGTGCTTGTGCGTGCATGCGTTGTCTGTGCGGGTGCTTCCATCGCCGGCTTCGGCGTTGACGTTTCCCATTGCCGCGGCGCTTGTTGCCTAGGACTGCAATGCCTTCTGTCCCCCCGTGATCAGACTTATCTTTATTCCTATCCAAGGGGGCGTTCATTCGTTCGTTCGTTCGGTCGGTCGGTCGTTCGTTCGTTCATTCATTCGTTCGTTCGTTCGTTCGGTCGGTCGTTCGTTCGTTCGTTTGTCTCGCGAATGCAACTTATGCCTCTCCGCCCGTCCCCCGTGTCTTCCCTTCCCCCCGCTTCGCCCGCCCGCACCAGGAGCACGAGCAGGGTATCTGCGAGTCCAAGCACGCCGAGGGGTCGCTCGAGGAGCATGCCGGGCCCTTAGAGCAGGTGCGCGCTTCTCGCTTGGCTTCTCGCTTGTCTCGAGTCAGCGCTCCCAGCTTGGGTCTCGTTTTTAGACTGAGCTCGAAGTGGCCTTTCGGGATCAATTTCGAGACTCGTTTTTGCCTATTTGGGCTGTTGTTGACTCGTGATCTTAGCTCTTGTGTGCGTGTGCGTGTGCGTGTGTGGGTGTGGGTGTGGGTGCGGGGGTGTGGGTGTGTGCGTGTGCGTGTGCGTGCGCGCGCGCGCGCGCGTGTGTGTATGTGTGTGTGTGTGTGTGTGTGTGTGTGTGTGTGTGTGTGTGTGTGTGTGTGTGTGTGTTGTGCAGGCGGACGCGTTGGCTCGTGCAGTGCAGATTCAGGAGGAGGAGAACAAGCGGCTGAGGGAGGTGAGCGTGGTGTAGAGCGGTGTGATCTGGCATGAAAGTGTGTGGGTATGAGGGCATGAGGGCATGAGGGCATGAGGGCATGAGGGCATGAGGGCATGAGGGCATGAGGGCATGAGGGCATGAGGGCATGAGGGCATGAGGGCATGAGGGCATGAGGGCATGAGGGCATGAGGGCATGAGGGCATGAGGGCATGAGGGCATGAGGGCATGAGGGCATGAGGGCATGAGGGCATGAGGGCATGAGGGCATGAGGGCATGAGGGCATGAGGGCATGAGGGCATGAGGGCATGAGGGCATGAGGGCATGAGGTTACGAACGTGGTAGATTGTCAAATAACGAACTTGCTAGAACACGGGAAAAAGCGAGTGGAAGAAGCAGATACGGCTTGCCGGCGAGCGGTAGTGAGTAGCACACACGTTGCAAGCCACGGTCGTTGCAATCGACGCTGAGAGCGTGTGACCCTCTCCGGGTCGGTGGCTTGCCTAAATCTCCCTGCCTTGGTCGTTGCAATCGACGGTAAGAGCTCGTCCTGATCGCGTTGACATCCGGCCTCCATCTTTTGTCGTGCGTTGACCAATCGTGTTGGCTCTCGCGTGCACTGTACGCCTTGTATCGTCCCGTCCCCTTGGCATCACTTGAGCAGGCGTTGGCAGCAGCGCGTGCCACGTGGAAGGCAGTGCAGGACGAGAACAAGCACCTGCTGCAACAGGTGAGTGAGCCCGCCCGCTTGCCGTGGCCTAGGGCGCGCAGCACTATGCTTGGCAAGTCGTTTGCTTTGAGCCGTTGCTTTAGGTTGTTCCAGTGTGCTACTGTTAAAAGGAAAACGAAAGAGAAAACGAAAGAGAAACAGAAGAGGAAGGACTGACTGTTCACGAGTTTGAAGGCTGCCCCCCCCTGGTTTTTCCCTCGTTCTCTTCCCTGCGCATATTCCGTTGTTGCTATCTTATCTCTCGCTGCCTGTTACGCCCTCGCCCTGTGCGTCCTCCCCACCAGATGACTCTCCACGGCCTCGTGCTGCCGCCCTCTGCAATTGCCAAGGCGCATCACCTGAAGAAATCTCCTCCGCCATCGCAACAGCAGCAGCAGCAGCAGCAGCAGCAGCAGCCGCAGGAGACTGGGGCAAGCGCACCCTTTTCTCCTCCATCCGCGTCCTCTTCATCCGCAGCAGCAGCTGCGGCGCGTTGCCCTCCCGCCCTCCCCCCGTTCCTCTCCCCCTTCGCCCCTCCCCCGCCCTGGGCTTGCCTCTCTCCCCATCCCGCCAGACTGCCGCTTCCGCCCTTCTTCCGCTCATCCGCGCTCCCTCTCCCCTCGCTCTTCCACAAGGGCCTCCCCGTGGGCCCCTGCGCCCCTGCGTGGTTCTCCCGCTCTGCCCCCCCCGCGCCACTTGCTTGGGTGGGGATCTCCCCCCCGCCCGCGCCCCTTCCCCCGCCGTCCGCTGGTGTTGCTGCCTCCTCTGCCGCGACAGCTGCTGCTGCTGCTGGTGTAGCCGTGCAGGGTGCAGCAGGTGCAGGGCAGGGCTGCGTAGGAGCAGTGGGGGTGCCTTCGCTTGCGTTTGCGGCAACAGCAGGGGGTGAATCTTTAGCTGCAGCAGCCGCTGGTGCAGCTGGTGGTGGTGGTGCTGGTAGTTGTGTGGGGAGTGGCGTGGATGGTGATGGAGGGAGTGCGGCGGCGGCGGCAGCGAGCGCAGGTGCTGGTACTGCTGAAGTCTATAACGAGGAGAAGCAAGGTGCTGGTGCTGCTGCTGCAGTTGCTGGAACGGACCAGTTGCCACCGCCAGCAGCGGCAGCAGCTGCTGCTGGCCCTGAGTCCACGTCTGGGGCTGTACCTTCCTCTCCTGCTGCTTCTGCAACCCCAGCCACAGCTGCAGTAACATCTTCGATGTCAGCATCAGCACCTGCACCCGGACCCGCATCCGCGTCTGCTGCTGCAGCCGCTAAGACTGTGTCGGCGACCTTGCCTTTCTCCTCTTCCCCTGCTCCTTCCGTCTCCTCCGCGGGTTCCCTTCGCCCGCTCTCAATGATCCCGCCCTCCTCGCTCTTCCTCCCCCCTACTCACTTCCACCATCAGCACCACCGCCACCACCACCAGCAGCAGCAGCTGCTGCAGCCGCAGCACCAGCAGCACCCGCAGCACCAGGCCCAGCAACAGCAGCAGCAGCAGCAGCAGCAGCAGCTCCCCTCGCCCTTCCCCTTTTACTTCCCGCCCTCCTTCTTCTCCGTCCCCCCGCACGTGCACCCATCCGTGCTGCCCCGCCACACCTCCCCCCCCACTGCTCCTGCCTCTGTCACTGTTGGCGCTAAGCACGACCATGATGCTACCAAGCCGCGCCGTGCAAGACCCTCCCCTCCCAGCACCGCTGCAGGGGTGGGGGCTGGTGTTGTAGACGGTGCGTCTGCTGCTGCTGTGTCCCCTACTGTAAACGGTGCTGCTGGTGCTGCAGCTGGTGTTGGGAGAGAGGGAGCGGGCAATTGTGGGTCAGGCGGTTCAGGCGGCAATGCTTTGGGAGGGGGAGGGGGAGTTGCTGTATCATCAGGGCTGGCGGGCGGTGGTGGTGGTGGTGGCGCTAGTGGTGTTCCCCGTGTAGCCAAGAAAGCACAGAGCAGGATGAGGGCCAAGGCAATGCTGTCTGCAGCAGCAAAAGAAGCAACACATGTGCCCGTACCGCCAGCAGGTGGGGCAGCTACAGCAGCACCGGTCGCACTGTCACCAAAGGGAGTAGTGGGTGCTGGTTCTGCTGCTGCTGCTGCTGCTACCGGAACAGCTGCTGCTTTTGCCGCTGCTGCTGCTGCTGCGGGTGTTAGTGGAGGTCCCAAGCTCTTCCCTCATTTTCGTAACGCTGGCGCTCACCCCGGGGGAGCCATTGGCTTGATGCCTCTACCCCCTGGCTTCCCTGTCCCCCCTCCTTCGATTCTTGCCGCGGCTGCTCGCTCGCAGTTCCTAATCACCAGGGGCCATATGCCTGTGCGTACTTCTGTCACTGGGCATCTCCCCACAGCCCCACCTTTCCATGCTTTACCAGATGCGGCAGCAGCAGCAGCAGCCTCTGCTGCTGCTGCGGCGGCTGCTGCTTCTCGGAGCCGCAACTCTGCTTTCACGTTTCCCATCCGCCCCATTTCACGAAAGTCGGGGGTATCGCCTTGTCCCCCCCCCACTCCGCGTCCGTCCCCCCCAGCCGGCCCCTCTCCTGCCTCTTCCGGAGCAGTAGTAGCACCAGCAGGCGCTGCTGTTGCTGTTGCTGCTCCTGGTGCCGCAGTTTGCAGTGTGGCCACTGGTAAATTCGTCGATAATTCCGAGCAAGAGACTAGCAACAGTTTCCTGGCAGGTACTGCTGCTGCTGCTGCCTCTGCCACTGCCACCTCTAGATCGTCCGAGAGAAAGCCATCGGGTTTTGTTTCTCCATCCGCAGCAGCAATATTACCATCCTCAGGAGGAGTGTCTGCTGTTGAAGCTGCAGGGTCGCTCCCTCCGTCCCCTGGTGGCGTTGCTTCGTCTGGTAGCAAGAAGCGAGCAAGGGAGGATGAGGAAGAGGAGGGTGGGAGGGCTCTGATGGCTGCTCAGACCCGTCCTCTCGCTGGTGCTGTGTCCTCAGCCGTTCCGTCAGCAGCAGCAGGAGTAGCAGGAGCGTCAGTTGCTGCTGCTGTGTCAGCAGCAGCAGCATCAGGAGGCAGCAGTCAAGTAACAAGCCCGCGCCCCTCTCCCCCGCACACGCCATGCGAGAGCATCACCCGAGCCAAGATCAAGACCGAATCAGCTTTCTCCCACGGCCCTCTCCCCGTCCATATTCCTCCCTCTCTCCCCATGCCTATGTCCGGTGTGAGAGTGCAAGCAGGCCCCCCTGGGCCGATGCCGGAGCCTCTGGTAGTGCTGCTGCCAGGGGGAGTGAGAATGCCATGCCCCTGGCCCGCCCCTCTCCCCCGCCATCCGATCATGCCGGTCACGGCTGGAGGGGTAGCAGGAGGGGTAGGAGGAGTGGGAGTGATGGGGCCGGTGGGTGTTGGCATGGGGAGTGCGGCTGCTGAGGCGAGGAAGAGGAGGAGGGAGGTGAAGAGGAGCAAGGTCATGATGGGGCACATGGGGTTGGCAGGCGTGCACTTCTCGCCAGCAGGTGCTGCTGCTAATGGCGGGGCTGCTGTGGGTACAATGGCAGCTGCAGCAGGTGTGGGTGGTGGTGTATCTGCTACTTCTACTGCTACTGCTACTACTACTACTGTTACTACTGCTGCTACTACTGCTATTGCTGCCGCTGCTGGGTTCTCTCACGTGCCAGGGGAGGTGTCGAGGCATCGCCTGCCGCCCGCAGACGTTGCTTGCGGCCCTCCGCTTCTCTCCACTGCCCCCACCTGCTGATATTGACAACGTTGCTGCTGAGCTGAGCCTGCTGGGGTGATTTCCTGATTCACTGCTTCACAAGTTCCCTGGTTCACTGGTTCACTGGGGGCGTGGTCCAATGTGGCCCAGTGCGTCCCTGCTAGTTGAGCTGCCGTTTCACAGATTTTTAGGTCAAGTTACCTACCACCAGCTCCTCCCGCTCCTGTTTATCCATTGAAGTTCCGTCCCATTCGCCTCACCACATCACATTTTCCATCTTGCTGATCAAGGTCACGGTACCTTCGCACGCACCCGCCTTCACCCACCCACCCACCTCCACCCACCTGGTCCCACCTGGACCCACCCTGTCAGATGCATCATCTGCTGATCCATCAGTATCCAACAATCATTTCATTCCAGTCGGCCAGCCGTGTGAGCCATGTCAGCCTCATTATCGGTGTCCATATCCGCCGCTTCCATTGCCCGTCAAGTGGTTCCCATGCCCGCACCACACCACTCCCCACCATTCTTTCAACGCTGGTTGTTTCGCCGCGGTTACCACGTGCAGCAGCCTCGGCTCGAATGTACATCCTGTGCATACTGTATGCTTGCGCTGCTGCTGCTGCCGCCGCCTAAGCCACCATTCAACCCCTGCTGCCCGTGCTTGTGCGCGTGTCGCTCACGCACACGCACAGGGTTCTCTCATTGCATGGCATGGCACATCAGCAAGCAGCATGACTCCACCAGCCTGCTTTTCCGCTCATGCCAATGCATGCATGACTGGCATGCATGACTGGCATGCATTTGCTGTCTGTCACGCACACCATGCATCCCTCCTGTCACTATCCATGCACATGCACGGTTGCTTCTTCCATGCATGCTCTCCCAGCACATGCCAAAGCGCTTCAACTCCCCTATACATAGACTTGCATCCTTGCATCAATTCATGCTGTATGTGCTCAAGCATGCATGCCTGTGCATCTGGCCATATACTTATGGACCTTGCCCTGAGGCTGAGCTCTAGCTTGATCCTTACACTGACAATGCCATGCTGTTCCTGCCGAAGAGGGAAGCAGTGTTGGTTTGCTGCTGTGCATTCGACTGCTGTTTGTTCCTCGACTTGCTTTTGGCCTTGGCTCTGGTGGATCAGTAGGAACGATTTTGCTTGTGCTTTTTTTGCTTTTATTAGATTTGAAAATGATAGCTGATGTAGGTTATGATGATGGGGGTTAGACAGCAGAGCTTCCAAAGCTCAGACAGGTGGGACAAACAATGGAAATAATTATGTAAATATTATGGGAAAATAATAGACAAATTTCATGTTCTTGCTGTAAAATTAAGGGAGCCAAAATCTAGGAATATCGCTCCACCTATCCAAAATCTAGGGGTCCATCAGCTAGCAGCGCAGCGACAACATCACCCCCTCTTCTCACCCTTGGTCACATCCCAGCAGCACTTTCCCACGCACCAGGCAGTCCACCCCACTCGCTTCACCACCCCACTCTCATCTGCCTGCCGCTTTCCTCACGCCATGTCCGCGCTTCACGCTCCCCTCCTCGGGGCGCCTGCGATGGCGACTCCTTTGATGTTGCCGTTGGGGTCAAGCGGGCGACGGCTCGGATCAGCTCCACGGGTCGCGCGCTTTTCAGCGGAGAGTGCCGCGGGGCGGATACGGCGAGCGGGTGAGTGGGAAAAAGGGGGAGGTGGAGGAAAAGAAGAGAATAGAGAGGGAGGGGAGGAACCAAAGGTAGCGACGCGCCGACCGAAGTTGACCTCGCTATACTCGAAGGTAGCGATGCGGCGGTAAGGTAGATCTTAGAGCAGAATGAGGTGTGCCGCGGGGTGTCGCCGTTTCAGAGAAGTTTAGAAGTGTACGCCGCTGAGATGATCTGCTTATATGAGGTGATCTGCCTATATAAGGTGGTTCATTAGTCGGCTCAAACGTCTGAGGCACGCGGCAGCGGCGGTAGCGGCAGCAGCAGCAAGATTGTTACGCGAGACCAATGTGGTCGCGCTGATGGTGCAGGTAGGCGTAGGTTGGAGCGAGTGCAATGCAGGCACCGATCGAAGCGAGTGCAACACAGGCGCCGATCGAAGCGAGTGCAGCACAGGCGCCGATCGAAGCGAGTGCATTATGCGGCACTGATGCTGCATTCTTGCGAAACCCTGAGGGGCGAAGTCGATTGACGACGGTATTTGGGCAAGGTGTAGGTATCTTTGGTTGTCTAGGTTTCACGTTATATGCAGGTATCGAATTCCAGGTATCAAATTCCAGGTATCGAATTCCGGGTAACATGTGTTGTTCCTCACACTTTCCTCCGTTCCTCCCACTCCTCCCCGCCCCCCGCCAGCAATAACCGCCTCCTCCTCCTCCTCCTCCTCACAGCAGCAGCAGCAGCAGCAAGATCCAGCCCCAGCAGCAGCGCACCAGGCCAAGTCCCCCCAACTAGCAGCAGCAGCAGCACCCGGCATGTCCAGGCGATCAATGTTAGCAGCAGTGACCCTAGGCATCGGTCTAGGCCACCTCGTATCCGAAATCGACACTGGCGCTGGCGCTGGTATCGGCTCAGGGGCGGGGGCAGTGCGGGGAGCGGCGGTTGCGGCGGTGGGCAGTGACCGGCCCATGGAGTCGTACGACGAGCAGCGGCTGCTGGAGCAGAACCGCCGCATCCACCGCCTCAACCAGGCGCCCGACAACTTCCCTGGGTTCATCCGCCAGGGTGAGTCGGTTTGGGGAGGGGACATGGGCAAGGGGTAGGAGAGGGGGGGGCGGGTGGGGTGAGGGGGTTCTGCTGGCGCTGGCCACCACCGCCACCGCCGCATCCACCGGCTCAACCAGGCGCCCGACAACTTCCCCGGGTTCATTCGCCAGGGTGAGTCGGGGTAGGGGGCAGGTTCTGTTGGCGCTGCACAAGCATTGGCACTGGCGCTGGCACAAGCATTGGCACTGGCGCTGGCACAAGCATTGGCACTGGCGCTGGCACAAGCATTGGCACTGGCGCTGGCACAAGCATTGGCACTAGCGCTGGCACAAGCATTGGCACTGGCGCTGGCACAAGCATTGGCACTGGCGCTGGTTCTGTTGTTAGTGGTGCCGGGATTGGCATGGCAGTGAGGGGAGCAGGCGCAGTGAGTGCAATGCAGGGAGCGGCGGTGGCAGCGGTGGGTGGGTGGCGACAACTGGCCCCTGGAGTTGTACGACGAGCAGGCGCACTGCCGCATCCATTGCCTTGACCAGGAGCCTGAGGACTTTCCGGGGTTCATCCGCCAGGGTGGGAAGGGGGTTTGGGGAGGGGGGTCGGGAAAGGGGGTATGGGGAAGGGGGTATGGGGAAGGGGGTATGGGGAAGGGGGTATGGGGAAGGGGGTATGGGGAAGGGGGTATGGGGAAGGGGGTATGGGGAAGGGGTATGGGGAAGGGGGTATGGGGAAGGGGGTATGGGGGGGGTATGGGGAAGGGTTATGGGAGCGGGGGTATGGGGAAGGGGGTATGGGGAAGGGGGTATGGGGAAGGGTTATGGGAGCGGGGGTATGGGGAAGGGGGTATGGGGAAGGGTTATGGGAGCGGGGGTATGGGGAAGGGTTATGGGAGCGGGGTTATGGGGAAGGGGGTATGGGGAAGGGTTATGGGAGCGGGGTTATGGGGAAGGGGGTATGGGGAAGGGTTATGGGAGCGGGGGTATGGAAAAGGGGGTAGGAGAGTGGGGGACCGGGGGGATGGGGGGGGCTCTGCTGGCTCTGGCTCCAGCATTGGCACTAGCATTGAATTTGGCTATCTCCCCTTGCTCTCCCCTTGCTCTCTCCTTGCTCTCCCCTTGCTCTCCCCTTGCTCTCTCCTTGCTCTCCCCTTGCTCTCCTCTTGCTATCTTTTTGAAGTCCTGCCTTCTCTCCCTCCGGCGCTGCTCTGACTCCTCTATACAAGCAAAGTCGAATCCGTCCGCTCCCTTTCCTTGCTGCATCGCATCCATTCTCCTTTCCAGTTTGGTTTGAATCCTTCTCCTGTATCTCCCACGTCCGTCTTCCATCCATTCCCCTTCTGCTTTTGAGTCGACTCAAAAAGCATTTCTCCCTCCCATGTTGATTGTGAGTCGACTCAAACGCATTCTCCCTTCCAATTTGGTTTGAATCCTTCTCCTGTATCTCCCACGTCCGTCTTCCATCCATTCCTCTTCTCCCTGTCTCACCCTCCCTCTGTCGCCCTCCTTCTACCACCCTCCCCATTCTCCCCCACTCCCCATCCCCCTCTTTCCTTTGTTTGTTCTCCGTCTTCCCCTTTCTCCCCTCCCCCCCCCCCATTCTCGCTCCCCTCTCCCCCTTCTCTCCCCCGCAGGTTTCGAGGTGAAGGTAGTGACGGGCCCCGAGTACATTGTGTCGCCCACAGGTAGGTGGCGCTTCCACTCGCGTACTGCTCCCTGCTGCAGCTCATGCTGCTCCTGCTGCTGCTCCTGCTGCTGCTCTGGCTGCTGTTCTTTCTGCACATGCTGCTCTTCCGCCTGCTGCTGCTGCTGTTGCACAGGGTGCTGCACCATGACTGTTCCTTGTTCCTGGTTCGGTCGTCTTCCCTCCTTTTCACCTTCTCTCAGCAGCACCCGCTGTCACTCCTGCTTCTGCCATTTTCGTTTCGCTTCTTGCATTTGTGCATCTGTGTGCGTGTGTGCGTGCATGCATGTGTGCGCGTGTGTGTGTGCGTATTTGCTTGTGTTTTTATGTGTGCATGCCTGCATGTGCATGTGTGCATGCCTGCAGGGTTGATCTACTGGGACATAGTGGACGGCCAGGGAGAGCCCCCATCGTCAGGTCAGGAGGTGAGGCCCTCAACCCCTCGCTACTGCCAACGCCACTCTCACCTGCCACTCTCACCTGCCACTCTCACCTGCCACTCTCACCTGCCACTCTCACCTGCCACTCTCACCTGCCACTCTCACCTGCCACTCTCACCCTCGTTGGATGAAAGCTTCTTCCTCTGTTGCTGCCCCTTGCCCTGACAGCACTCATCACACCGTCTCTCCTCGCTCGCCTCTTACCCGCTTCCTCCCCCCCCTTTTCCTCCTCCCCCAGGTGGATTTCAACTAGATTGGGTTCAACGAGTCAGTCCGGAGGGTGGACAGCACGTACCTGCAGGGCTGGCGAGTGGACATCCGTCAGGCCTGCATCCCTCTCAGACTTGCTCTTTCGGCACCTGCCCCCCTGTGGACTTACTGCCTCTCACCCTCTCCTATTGGTTCCCCCACACACCCCCCCCTCGCCCCCTCTTCCCCCCCCCAGGTGGAGTTCAACTACATTGTGCTCAACGAGTCGGGCTGGAGGGTGGACAGCACTCATCACTAGGTCGCTTTGCTCTCCTCCTGGCCCCTACCCGCCCCCTCTCCTCCCCTTCCAGGTGGAGTTCAACTACATTGGGTTCAACGAGGCGGGCCGGCGTGTGGACAGCACGTACCTGCAGGGAAGGCCCGCCAAGACTAGAGTCGGCATCAACGGCATGATCCCAGGTGATGCCGCTAGTTCCTCCCTCGTGAGGCGACTCAGAAGTCAACGGCATGATCCCAGGTCAGGTCTCGCCCTTGCCTTGCATTGTGTTGCCCGTGCTGCGTTGCCATCTGTCTGATATAGGTCTTATCACACCCTTGCCATGCCATACCATCCCATACCATGCCATACCATGCCATACCATAACATACCATACCATACCATACCATACCATACCATACCATACCATACCATACCATACCCTACCATACCATAGCATGCCATGCCTTTCCTTTTGCCTTCCCAACCCCTTTGAGGACTGCAATTTTTTAGAGAATCCTAAAAAATGACTTCACTGCCTAGACAGCACGAGGATTCGCTTTGCTTCTCACCGGCTCTAGTCTTCCTTCCTGCACCTCCTCCTCCTCCTCATTCCCTCGCTCCGCATGTTCTTTCTTGTGCCTGCAGGGTTTGAGTAGGGCATCAGCGGCACAAGGGTTGAACTGCCCACCTCTCGTCTCTTCTCTCCCCATCCCCCCCCACTTCTGGCATTGCTTGCCTACTCTCCTCTGCCCTCATCTTTTCGTCTCTCGATTGCAGAGTTTGGGGAGGGCATCAGCGGCATGAGGGCAGGGTAGGCCTGGCCTTTTCTCGCCTTCTGACACCGTTTGCCCTCTCCCCCTTGCCTGTGTGCTCTCTTGTCTCGATTGCAGGTTTTGAGGAGGTCATCAGCAGCATGAGGGCAGGGGGCTTCTCTCTCTCTCCCCTTCTCCCTCTTGTGACACTGTGTGCCTGCTCTCCCCCCTGCCTGTGTGCCTGCTCTTCCCTCTGCCTGTGTGCCTGCTCTCCCCCCTGCCTGTGTGCTCTCGTGTCTCGATTGCAGGGTTTGAGGAGGGCATCAGCGGCATGAGGGCAGGGGGTCGCCGGCGCATCATCATCCCCCCTGAGCTTGGACCTCCGGTACGGATGAATGACAAACCAACGAATGGACGAACAAAAGAACGAACGTACGAATGAACGAACAAAAGAACGGAGGTACGAATGAACGAATAGACGAACAAACGTAGGAATGAACGAACGGACGAACAAACGTACAAATGAACGTACGGACGAACGAACGGACGATCAAACTGCTCTTCATCCCCCGTTCCGCCCCGCTTCCGCCTTCCGTTCCTGCCGTCGTCTTCTCCCTTCCCTCACCCCATTCCGTGCCACCCAGACTCCCGGCCCTTCCCAGAGCCTGAATCTCCACCTCTCACCCCTCTCACCCCACTCACCCTCTCTCCCCACTCACCCTCTCACCCCACTATCAACCCTCTCACCCTACTCTCACCCAATTCTCACCCCACTCACCCCACTCTCACCCCTCTCCCACTCACCCTCTCACCCCTCTCACCCCACTCTCACCACCCCTCCATGCCACCGACTGGCCCGTCCACGTTCTTCAGTGGGAAGCAGTTTGAGGTGCTCAAGCCCACCTCCTTGATGTGAAGGAGGTGTTCTACATCAAGCTACTCGCCATCTGCCACACCTCCTTAACCCCCCGTCCCCGCCCCCCTTTCCCTCTCCTCCCCTTGCTTCCCCCTTGCCCCATACTCGCAGACGGGCCCGTCCACGTCCTTCAGCGCGAAGCAGCACGAGGTGTTTGACATCGAGCTCCTGGCCCTCCCCCACTCCCCCCTTACCCCGCTTCTCCCTTCCTCCCCCCCCCCTCCTCTCTCCTCCCCCCCATACTCGCAGACGGGCCCGTCCACGTTCTTCAGTGCCAAGCAGTACGAGGTATTTGACATCGAGCTGCTGGCCATCCGCAGCTGCGAGCGCCGCCAGATCGTCTTCTACTCGGATGTGGTGTGCCAGTGATGGGATGGGACAGTAGTACACTTCCCACCGCGGATCAGACCGATGCTGCTGCTGGTGAATGCTGAGTGGCGAGTGGTGAATGGTGGTGATGCTGGTGGCGCTGGTGGCGGTGTGACGATGGGACACTGATACACGTAGGGGATGGATCTCTTTGTCAAACATATCTATAACTCATGTTTGTATAGACTGTATAGGGTCACCTCTAAGAGGGTACAACACTCTTAGGTATATACCCTTGTACTCTCATTCTAAACTCACTTCTTCAGTTCTAAGATGGTATCAGCAGTAGGTAGGTCCCATGCTTCCGCCCTCGGATCTACTCCCGTTCGTCGCGCCCCCTAGGCCCCGTCGCGTCACCTAGGACCAGTCACGCCCCCCCCCTGGGCCCCGTCGCGCCCCCTGGGCCCTGTCGCGCCCCCTGGGCCCCGTCACGCCCCCCTGGGCCAGTCGCGCCCCCCCCCACTGGGCCCGTCGCGCCCCCCCCCTGGGCCCCGTCGCGCCCCCCTGGGCCCGTCGCGCCCCCCTAGCAACCGTCACGCCCCTCCTGGGCCCCCCCGTTTGTGCCTCCTGGCCCCGTCGCGCGACTCCTAGCCCGTCGCGCCTTTCCTAGCCCGTCGCGCCTTTCTTAGCCCGTCGCGCCTCCTAGCCCTACGCGCCTCTCCTAGACCGTCCCAGCCGGCCCTGCGACCGTCCCAGCCGTCCCCGCGACCGTCCCAGCCGGCCCCGCGACCGTCCCAGCCGGCCCCGCGATCGTCCCAGCCGGCCCCGCGACCGTCCCAGCCGGCCCCGCGACCGTCCCAGCCGGCCACGCGACCGTCCCAGCCGGCCCCGCGACCGTCCCAGCCGTCCCCGCGACCGTCCCAGCCGGGCCCGCGACCGTCCCAGCCGGCCCCGCGATCGTCCCAGCTGGCCCCGCGACCGTCCCAGCCGGCCCCGCGACCGTCCCAGCCGGCCACGCGACCGTCCCAGCCGGCCCCGCGACCGTCCCAGCCGGCCCCGCGACCGTCCCAGCCGGCCCCGCGACCGTCCCAGCCGGCCCCGCGACCGTCCCAGCCGGCCCCGCGATCGTCCTAGCCGGCCGCGCGACCGTCCCAGCCGGCCCCGCGATCGTCCCAGCCGGCCACGCGACCGTCCCAGCCGGCCCCGCGACCGTCCCAGCCGGCCACGCGACCGTCCCAGCCGGCCCCTCGACCGTCCCAGTTGTTAGGGTGGTTCGCCACTGCCCTACCGTCCTATTCCTATGCCTAACGAGGATGCGGCGATGCTAGGACGGTGTGAGGACCGCCCATCTCGTTCCAAGGAAAGTGGTGTTGAAATAGCAAGGCGGATGACAAGGGAAAGAATGACGACGGGAAGAAAAACGGGAATCCTAACTGCAGTGGCGGAAGTGGCGGAACAGCGGTGGAGCTAGGAAAATCAGCAAGGAAGAAATTGAAGAAATCGGTAGAAGAAAACCTAAGAAAATAAGGTGCTTGAGGTTGCTCTAGGTGATGCGTGCGTGCGGGGAAACGGTAGATCTGCTTTCTGTTGCCTTGCAGGAAACTCCAGCCAAGACCAGCGGGAGAAACAAGCTGTACGAAAATTCTCCAACACAGACCCGGAGCGCGTTCAGCTGAATTCCGGAGAACCGAACTCGGGGTCGGTTTCGGACTTGGTGTCGGTTACCGAAATCCGTTTCCGCGGTTGCCAGAATTCCGCGGTTGGCAGAATTCCGAGGTTGCACAGTACACCAGCCGCGTTACGCGAACCGCGCAAGCTTTCTGCCTGCTTATAAATGCTTGTTTGTTTCTTGTTCAAACACAACTCATTTTCAGTGCAAATTCTCCCCTGGAAACTGCTGAAACTTTCTACGTCAACCAAGTCTCTCCAACGTCAGCAGGAGGCACTTGCGATCCTATAGCTGGTATCAGAGCCTCGTTATAGTCACATTACGCCTCACTATAAGGGCGTTGGAGCTGTGGAGGTCCTGAGTTCCTTGCAGAGGCAAAGGGAGAGCTGGAGCCATGGGGAATGGAGATGCTGAGGCTAGTTCAGGGTCATCCGTGAACCCTGGCAGCTCTCAAATGCAGAGTCTCCTGGATGCTCTTGCTCAAGGGCATGTGGTGGCCAAACCGACGATTGGCCTGAGTGAAGCGCAACGCTTCAATGGAGCGAACTACGGCACTTGGAGGCTGAAGTTCATGAGGCGTGCAAGGGAGGTGGGGCTGTGGCATCTCTACCACCCTTCGGCAGCGACGGAGGAAGATGGTCCTCCGCCTGAAACAGCACAAGAGAAGAAGGCATACAAGAAACGGTGTTTGCAAGCTTTCTTCCAACTCTGTCACTCAGTTTCCGATGGCATTGCTGGAGGGTTGGACAAGTTTGCTGAAGAAGAAAATGCAGCAGAGAACGCATGGCTCTTCATGGAAAAAATATACATGGGGAAGAGTGAGGCAAAGATGGCTGCTACTAGGAAGAAACTTCTATTGCTACGCAAGGAGCCATCAGAGACCGTGGTGGACTATGTGACTCGAGCACGAGGTTACAACGACGATTTGACAGCAATGGGCGTGCCAGAAACAGAGAGGCAAATGATGAGCTATATTATCAGTGGCCTGCCAAGGGATTGGGCATCTGAAAAGGGCACCCTGACTTGCCGTCATCCCACGGACTTGACTGACCTCTTGGATGACTTACAGCAGTTGGAGCTGATCCGAGCGGACGATGAGCGCAAGGATGTCATGGCTGAAAATTCCAGCAGTGACAAACCTGCACTTCTGAATGCAACCGGGACAACAAGGACATTTGGGCCATGTTTCCAGTGTGGAAAGAAGGGCCACAAAGCTGCCGATTGCTACTCCAACCCAAGGAGCAAGAATTTCAAAGGGATGGGAGCAACCGGACAAGGAACCAGCGAAGGAGCAAGTGGAGATGGACAACGGCTGCGAAGCGGGTTTGCTGGAACGTGCAACTATTGCCACAAGTATGGCCACAAGGCAATCTACTGCTACTCCAACCCTACAAGCAAAAACTACAGGGGTGGACAGCAGCAGTACAAACCTCATTCACCTGCAAAAGCCAACATTGCAGAGGCGAACAACGGCGATGAAGACGTGATTCTTGGAGGTGCACACAAGGCCAATGTTGCACGTGCTTCTGGAGCGTGCCTGCTAGCAACAGGGCTGAAGGGACAGGAGTGGTACATGGACAGTGGATGTACCCAACACATGACCAATCAAGAAGGTTGGCTGCAAGATTTCAGAGCTTCTACGGTCCCATATGTGCTGCTGGGAGATGAAGGGCAGCTTCCAGTGAAAGGAGAAGGAGATATGGTGTTACAAGGGGCATATGGAGAGTTAAAGTTGGACAACGTGTTGCTGGTGGACCGATTGACTCTGAATCTACTGAGTCAATCACAGCTGGACAACAGCGGATGCAAGACCTACAGTGACAAGGGGCGCCTATGGGTGTTCGGCCCTGACTGGAAGGTGCTAGCGGAAGGCGCACGCAAGCAAGGGCTGTACGAGATGAAGCTACATGAGAAGCAGAAAGATGGTGCAAGATCTACATACCTTGCTGAACCGGAGGAAGGGAAGACAGCAAGGGACGAGCTTCGTACCATGATAGAGAAGACGCCCATCAAAGAACTCCAGCAGCAAGCTCCTCCCAAGGTAGCAACGGTGACACCAGTGGACGTCAACCTGCTGCACCGAAGGCTGGGGCACGCTGGGCATACGCGCATCAAGGAGTTGATCAAGAAAAACATGGCAGTGGGAGTGAAGGTGACAGAGGATACAGAAAAAGAGCTGAGTTGCACCTCCTGCGTGGAAGGAAAGGCTACCAAGACTTCTCACCCTAAGCATGAGGTTCGGGAGCCATACAACATACTTGACATCGTGGCTGCCGACGTTTGTGGGCCTATGAGGGTGGCTTCCCGACATGGCAGCAAGTATTTTGTTACCTTCACCGACCTTGGCACACGACACACGTGGGTGACGGAGATCAAGAACAAATCTGAAGTGTTCGCAAGCTTCCTCGACTGGAAGGCTGAAGCGGAAAGGCAAAGCGGAAGGAAACTAAAAGTACTAAGGACAGACAATGGTGGCGAGTTCATCAATCAAGATTTTAAGAGCTACTTGAAGTCAAAGGGCATTCGGCGGCAACTAACAGTGCCGCACACTCCTCAACACAACAGCATAGCAGAGCGGTTGAACCGATCTCTACTGGAAAGTGTAAGAAGCATGCTGGCGGATAGCGGACTGCCTTTACACTATTGGGGTGACGCACTCGGCATGGCATGTTGGCTGAAAAATCGACTACCGACTAAGGGACTTGTAGCCGACATCACACCCCACGAGGCGTTCTACGAGCGCAAGCCAAACCTGGAGTTCTTACGTGTATGGGGCTGCATGGTGCAGTACCGGGAGCCGGCGGGACCCGACCACAAGCTCCTACCTCGAACCAAGTGGGGGATCTACTTGGGAATCTGCCCAGAGAGCAAAGGTTGGATTATAAGGGATGTGGAGACAGGCAAGGTGACGGCAACCAGAGATGTCACCTTCTACGAGCTTGACACCTATTTGGAGTGGAAGGGAAGGAAGACGGGGGCTGCAGCTGAGAACAAAAGAGCAACAAAGGAACCGACAGCAGCAGCACCATCTCCGGTGGAGGAGATGACGGAAGTGAATGGCAAGGAAGGAATTGGGGCAGCAAATGATTACACGGAAGATGAAGACTACGACGACTACCCAACTGCAGGGGTGGATTGGGTGTGGGAGGTCCCGGAGCAGCTAGCACCACCCAAGGAACCAGAGGATGAAAGGGAGCGCAACCAGGAAAAGGAAAGAACTGGTGGGATCCATGGAGAGTGTGCTGACCAAGATGAAGCAAAAAATCAGCATGGGCATGATGGAGAGGAAGAAGTGGATGACACTACAAGCTCGGACCACACCAACCCGTGGAAGCTGATCAATTCAAAAAGCAATGACAAGGCAGCAGCAGAAATTGAAGGCCTACTTGAGGAAGGCGCTATACTCATCGGACGGGAACTTGATGAAGACTCTGTGGAGCAAGGGCTAAACAATGGAGCTGTGGCCCAAATGGGTGGAGCTGAAAAGAGGAAAGAAGAATTGGGCAGAGGGAAACGGGTAAAGAAACCCACTCCCCGGTATGCCCAAATCCTCATGACACCATGGAAGGATGTTCATACTCACCTTCTACTCACCATGTCGGCAACCGCACTTGTCTCCAAGGAAAGGAGGAAGGCATACAACCTGCCCTCCGAGCCAATCACAGTTGAAGAAGCGTTGACCGGTCCCTATCGGAAGCAGTGGTGGGCAGCAATACAAGAAGAGCTGAACACACTTGCGGAAAGAGGAACGTGGGAGATGGTGCACATGCCGGCTGGAAGGAACTCAGTGGGAGTTCGCTGGATTTTCAAGATCAAAACTGGAGATATGGGGCAGCTTGAACGCTTCAAGGCTCGACTTGTTGCAAAGGGATATACTCAAGTGGAGGGAGAGGACTACACAGATACCTACGCACCCGTGAGCAAGCTGACCACAGCAAGGACGATGCTGAAAGTCGTAGCGGCACGTGGGTACTTTATGGTTCAACTCGATATCAAGAATGCCTACCTTTATGGCGTCTTGAAGGAAGATGTCTACATGGAGCAGCCGCCAGGTTTTGAGGACGGCACGGACAGAAAATGCAAGCTAATCAAAGCTCTCTATGGGCTGAAACAAAGCCCTAGGGAGTGGTACCAAACCATGGATGCACAGCTGATGAAGGGCGACTTCGTCAAGAGCCAATGTGACCGAGCGTTCTACTGGAAGGGAGAAGGGGAAGAAAAGGTCTTCCTACTGCTCTACGTCGATGACATCCTAGTGGCGGGAGCAAAGGAGGAGAGAGTGGAGGAGGTGTGCGCTCACCTTGCAGCAGTATTCCAAGTGAAGAAGATCCCAAGAGCATCTCTCTTCCTTGGGATGAATCTGGAGCGGAATAAGGAGGAGAAGAAGTTGCTGCTATACCAAAAGAAATACTGCCAAAGGTTGCGGGAGAAGTTTGGAGGGCACGGCACATCAAAAGTGGTGTCAACACCTCTCAGCAGCCTTGCACACAAAGAAGTGGATGTGAAGGCAGAGATTGAGACATGGGGCAGCCAGGAACGAGCACTGAAGGCTTACCAATCTATGGTGGGCTCCGTCATGTATCCCGTCTCCTGCACACGCGTGGATATGGCATATGCAGCAAGTTTCCTTGGGCAAAATGTGTTGCAACCCGAAGGACGCAAATGGAAGGAGATGGAACGGACCATTGCTTACCTCTTGCAACGAGAAGAAGAGGGACTTCTGTTTGAGGGAGGAGAGGAAACCCTAGAACTTGTTGGTTATGCCGATGCCTCACATGCATCGGATAAAGAGACGAGGAGGGGAGCCTATGGTTACGTCTACCTTCTTGGAGGAACGGCCATCATGTGGCAAGCAAAGAAGCTGACCGACATCGCCCTTTCAAGCGCAGAAGCTGAATATATGGCGCTATTTTATGCATGCCAAGAGGGTGTGTGGCTGAGACGTCTACTGCAAGAGATGGGGATCAACATCAACGGTCCTACAACAATCAAATCGGACAGCCAATCAGCCATCGACCTTGCAAGGAACGACAACTGGCACGGACGAACAAAACACATGGACGTCAAGTATCATTGGGTGCGAGAGATGCTGCAGAAAAAGACATTCAAGTTCGTACACGTACGGACAGAAGAGCAGCTCGCGGACTTCCTTACTAAGGTGCTGCCAAAAGCGAATCATGAGCATTGCAAGGACCTTGTTGGTATTCGTACCTTCAATAACTTGCAGGGGAGTAGCGGAGCAGTAATGAAGGCCACAATCCCGAGTGAAGAACGCGGACGAGAAATGATGACGAAATTAGGTCACATGGTGACCACGGGAGCATCCAAATGGGACAGCTAGCGAACCACAGGGGAGGTTGTTAGGGTGGTTCGCCACTGCCCTACCGTCCTATTCCTATGCCTAACGAGGATGCGGCGATGCTAGGACGGTGTGAGGACCGCCCATCTCGTTCCAAGGAAAGTGGTGTTGAAATAGCAAGGCGGATGACAAGGGAAAGAATGACGACGGGAAGAAAAACGGGAATCCTAACTGCAGTGGCGGAAGTGGCGGAACAGCGGTGGAGCTAGGAAAATCAGCAAGGAAGAAATTGAAGAAATCGGTAGAAGAAAACCTAAGAAAATAAGGTGCTTGAGGTTGCTCTAGGTGATGCGTGCGTGCGGGGAAACGGTAGATCTGCTTTCTGTTGCCTTGCAGGAAACTCCAGCCAAGACCAGCGGGAGAAACAAGCTGTACGAAAATTCTCCAACACAGACCCGGAGCGCGTTCAGCTGAATTCCGGAGAACCGAACTCGGGGTCGGTTTCGGACTTGGTGTCGGTTACCGAAATCCGTTTCCGCGGTTGCCAGAATTCCGCGGTTGGCAGAATTCCGAGGTTGCACAGTACACCAGCCGCGTTACGCGAACCGCGCAAGCTTTCTGCCTGCTTATAAATGCTTGTTTGTTTCTTGTTCAAACACAACTCATTTTCAGTGCAAATTCTCCCCTGGAAACTGCTGAAACTTTCTACGTCAACCAAGTCTCTCCAACGTCAGCAGGAGGCACTTGCGATCCTATACCAGCCGGCCCCGCGACCGTCCCAGCCGGCCCCGCGACCGTCCCAGCCGGCCCCGCGACCGTCCCAGCCGGCCCCGCGATCGTCCTAGCCGGCCGCGCGACCGTCCCAGCCGGCCCCGCGATCGTCCCAGCCGGCCCCGCGACCGTCCCAGCCGGCCCCGCGACCGTCCCAGCCGGCCACGCGACCGTCCCAGCCGGCCCCGCGACCGTCCCAGCCGGCCCCGCGACCGTCCCAGCCGGCCCCGCGACCGTCCCAGCCGGCCCCGCGACCGTCCCAGCCGGCCCCGCGATCGTCCTAGCCGGCCGCGCGACCGTCCCAGCCGGCCCCGCGACCGTCCCAGCCGGCCACGCGACCGTCCCAGCAGGCCCCGCGACCGTCCCAGCCGGCCCCGCGACCGTCCCAGCCGGCCCCGCGACCGTCCCAGCCGGCCCCGCGACCGTCCCAGCCGGCCGCGCGACCGTCCCAGCCGGCCCGCGATCGTCCCAGCCGGCCCGCGACCGTCCCAGCCGGCCCCGCGACCGTCCCAGCCGGCCACGCGACCGTCCCAGCCGGCCCCGCGACCGTCCCAGCCGGCCCCGCGACCGTCCCAGCCGGCCCCGCGACCGTCCCAGCCGGCCCCGCGACCGTCCCAGCCGGCCCCGCGACCGTCCCAGCCGGCCCCGCGACCGTCCCAGCCGGCCCCGCGACCGTCCCAGCCGGCCCCGCGACCGTCCCAGCCGGCCCCGCGACCGTCCCAGCCGGCCACGCGACCGTCCCAGCCGGCCCCGCGACCGTCCCAGCCGGCCCCGCGACTGTCCCAGCCGGCCCCGCGACCGTCCCAGCCGGCCCCGTGCCCCTCTCAGGCCGCCCCTGCACCCGTCCCAGCCGGCCCCGCGCCTGTCCAAGCCGGCCCCGCGCCCGTCCCAGCCGGCCCCGCGCCCGTTTCTGCCGGTCCCGCGCCCGTCCCAGCCGGCTCTCGCGCTCGTCCCGGCCGGCCCCGCGTCGACTTCCGGCCCTTCCTCGCCGGCCCTACGACCGTCCGTTCTGCACTCTCCCTGGTACGGTTCTCCACCGCACTGCACCCCACTGCACCGCACAGCACCGCACTGTACCGCACTGCACCGCACAGCACCGCACTGTACCGCACTGTACCGCACTGCACCGCACTGCACCGCACTGCACTGCACTGCATCGCACTGCCCCGCACTGCACTGCCCTGCACTGCGCTGTTCCTGATGGCGGCAGAGCTTCGCTTCGATGCTGAAGGCCAGCCTCTTGAGTTCGAGGCGTGGCTAGCCGACCTCCGCCACCACCTCACGGGCCAGCGGCAGGATGGTCATTCACTTTCGGCACACCTTGACGGTATGCTTCCCTGCCCAGACCCTCCTGCTGTGCTGCCTGTTGCCCCCACATCCGCTGAGCGCGAGTCTGCTGCCGCTGCTGCCCTTGCTCGCTCTGTCTGGCTTTCCCGAGACGCTGTCGCGCAGCTTGCCATTAGCAATGCCCTACCCCTGTATGAGCGTCCCCGCTTTAGGTCTATCACTACCGCTCAGGCCTTCTTAGATGCTGTCATCAAGCGCTATTCCACCCCGCCTGCTGCATCCGTGGGTCGCCTGATCCTCCCGATGCTCTTTCCTGACCTTGCGTCTTTCCCCACTGTCGCGGACCTCGCTGCCCACCTGCGCACTATAGACGAGGCCTGGCGCGCTGCCTGCACTGATGCACAGCTTAGAGCCCACCAGCCGCCCATGACCTCTACCCTCTACCTGCTTGCCACCCGCCTCCCTGACCGCCTTGCCGCTGCTCGCGACCAGTTCCTTAGCATTCACCCCGCTGAGCTCACCCTCACAGACTTTGTAGACACCCTGACTGTGATTGAGACCCGCCACCGCTCTATCGCCCAGGCGAGCGGTACTGTGCCGGTCCCTATCTTTCAGGGTTCTGCCCCTTCTCAGTGCACCTTCTCTGATGGTTCTGCCGCTGTGGCTGAGACCGCTGCCGCAGCGCAGTTCCGTCCGGGGAAGGGCCGCCGCCCCAAGGCTGGGCGCGGCGGGGGAGGAGGGGGTGCCGGTGGGAATAGTGGTGGAGGCGGGCTGTCTGGTGCTGGAACGGACGAGGGGACCTCGCCTGCTCCAGCTGAGCAGCCGCCTCCGCCGTCGCAGCAGCAGCAGCAGCAGCCGCAGCCGCCGCCGCAGCCGCAGCAGTCGCAGCAGTCGAGGCAGGCGAGTGCCCTCCCGCCCGGGTGGCCTGGAGCTGGTGGTGGCCGTGCGCGCGGTGGTGTGCCGGGTGGTGGTTTCGGAGGCGTGCGCTGTCAGTACCAGATCCAGACCGGTCCTCGCCGCGGCTTCGTTTGCGGTAAAATCGGTCATTCCACTCCTCGTTGTTTTCGTCGCCTGGACGACCTGTTCCGTCAGCGCTTCGGCCCATCGCCCGACCTCCCGGACTGGCACAGTTTGCTTAGGCGTCAAGTTCAGATTTTTGATTTGGACATGGATGACATTGTAGCCGCCCTGCATGTGATGTATGCTGATGACTCTAGTGTGCTTCCCTCTTATTACCCCTTGTTGCCTAGTGTAGGTGTGCCTAGCTTAGACTCCCCTGCTGCGTCAGGCGTAGGATCTCCTGCTTTGTTTAGCCTCGGTACTTCCGCCGCTTCTCCGCTGTCAGATGCCACTGCTGCGCTTTCCTTCACCTTGGACTCTGGCGCTTCCCGGTGTTTGTTCCGCGACTCCACTACGCTGACGCCGCTGCCTGTTCCTGCTGCAGTTTCTCTTGCTGACCCCTCTGGCGGTCTGGTAGTCGCCCGCAGTTCCACAACCCTTCCCCGTCCGGTGGTTCCTTCGGGCTCTCTCACAGGTCTGCATATCCCCTCGTTCTCCAGGAACCTAGTTGGTGTCGGCTGCCTCCAGGACCTTGGCGTCACCACTACGTTCCCTGGTCACGAGCGGTATGCTGTCTGTACCGAGGCCGCCACTGGTGCTCACCTTACCACGTTCCCCCGGGACCCGGTGTCCGGCCTGTTCACACTGGACACCGTGACTTCCCCGGCTGGGGTGTCCCCCCAGGTGGCTGTGTCTACTCAGGTTGCTGCTGCTTGCTCTTGTCGGTCCCTCATCCACCCGACTCTCTTGTGGCACCACCACCTAGGTCACCCTACGCTCCCGCGTCTGCGTCATATGTCCCAGCACGGTTGCAGTATGTGATTATCTCAGAGTCGTCTGCCCAAGAAGCGTCTGTGTGCCCAGTGAGGACCACTGGCCTGCGTCCTCCAAGCACTAACCCCATGCCCGATGTACTTGCTAGATATCGCAAAACCCTCTTAGCGACCGACCAGTGCTGAGGTCGGTGTCTGCCTGTGGCCACAAAGCGAGCCAGGATGCTGAGAGGGTATGCGAGATCTGGGCGAGTGCAAGTGATCAGGTACATGAGGCAACCCACCAGCTCTGCGTAGGGACCGCTGGACTCTACTGGCTCCTCAGGAACGGGAGCAAAGAGCTCATGGTCTATAGATAGAGGTGTAGGCTGTGCGGAGGAGAACTGAAGGCCGAGCCTCTGAAGAACCTGACGCACCAAGTGTGACTGAGTCAGAGTGATGGTGCGTGCTGCTCTGTCCCTGGAGATCTGCAGGCCAAGATAGCGACGCAGCTCTCCAAGGTCAGTGCAGGAGTGTCTCTTCAGCAGCTCTGCCTTCACGGAGGCCAGTGCGTTCCTGTCAGCAGTAGCGACGACCAGGTCGTCTACGTAGACAAGGATGTAGAACGGAGTCTGGCCGTAACGCACAAAAAACGAGGGGTCAACAGAGGACGGAAAGAACTGCAGGTCTGCTAGCGTGGCACGCAGCGTGTCGTGCCACTCGCGAGGAGCCTGGCGCAGGCCGTAGACTGGCCGCCTGAGAAGCCACTGAGTCCCAAGGGGGAAGGTACCAGTGAAGCCCTGTGGTCGGCGCAGGTAGACCTGCTCGTGTAGACTCCCCTGAAGAAAGGCAGTAGAGAAGTCGAGGGAGTGAAGCTCGTAGTCACGCTGTGCCTCTACGTGTAGCAGTGCCCGAAGAGTAGTCATCTTCGGGGTCGGGGCGAAGGTCTGGAAGAAGTCCACCCGCTCGCGCGGCTGAAGCCTCTAGCCACGTAGCGCGCCTTGAAGACAGGCGGCTCTCCAGGGGGGCGCTTCACCTTGAAGAGCCACCGACCATCGACTACTTTCACCTGAGGAGGGGGAACTACGTCGACGTAAGTGCTGGTGGACCTCCAAGATGCCATCTCCTGCTCCATGGCAGCTATCCACTGAGAGGCCCAGGGTCCCGAGGTGGCCTCAGCGTAGGTGCGAGGGGTCGGGATGTCGAAGGCGTCTGGGTCACCCTCTGGGACTAGGAGCATGGAGCAGAGATGGGGAGCGGCCTCGGAAAGAAAAGCAAGCTCGTACTACCTGTCCTCTAGAACGTCACTGCTAAGGGCAGGCGCACCCCCGACGGACGGAGGACGGGCAGGGTCGGAGACGAGAGTGGTAGCGAAGTCAAGGCGGCGGATAGAGGCGAAGCCAGCGACAGCAGCGACAAGCGCGTCAAGGCGCGAGACAGGAACAGATGGGTATGTAACAAGAGAGGCAAGAACCCGAGGAACAAGGGGACGAGCGACACAGAGGTAGTCAGACAGGGGGGGAGGTGCAACAACAAGCGACGAGGGAGGAGGCTACGGGAGGAGGGGAGCACGAGACGAGTGGGAACGGAGCAACATAGGGTGGGAGTGCAGGACAGGAGAGACGGGACGAGCACGTGAGAGACGGCGAGACCAAACGTGGGACGGAGGTGTAGGGTCAGGAGACAACGGAGGGGACAGAAGAGGGGAACGAGGAGGAAGACAGGCCGGATATGAGTCTGGCGGCGGGAACACAGGGCCGTAGATAGGAAGGGGAGGAGGTGGCGGGGGAGACACCGGCGAGCGGCCAGGGGAGTGAAGGCCGAGCAGGCGAAGAGCGGAGACCGGCGGCGACGGCTGCGGCGACTGCTGCGGCGGCTGCTGCTCGACCCGCGGACCGGCAGAGGCACGACGACTGGGAGAAAACTTAACGGCAGCACCCCCAGAGCGAGAACTCCCTCCAGCACCAGCGGCACCCCCAGGCCCGCCGGGACAGACCACGCCAGGAGTCGCAGGACGAAAACCCTCTTCAGCGCCAGCACCCCCAGAGGCCAAGAGCAGCACCAGCGGCGGCGGCGGCGGCGGCTGCGACGGCGGCGGCGACTGCGAAAGCGGAAGCGGAGACACCGGGGAAGGGGGACGCGGCAGGGACGGGTCGGGGGGACCACCAGAGTCAGCGGCCAGGCGGGCGCGACGGGGCCAGGCGGGCGCGACGGGACAGGCGGGCGCGACGGGGCCAGGCGGGCGCGGCGGGGCCAGGCGGGCGCGACGGGGCCAGGCGGGCGCGGCGGGGCCAGGCGGGCGCGACGGGGCCAGGCGGGCGCTACTGGCCAGGCGGGCGCGACGGGGCCAGGCGGGCGCGACGGGTTCAGGCAGGCGTGACAGGGCCAGGCGGGCGCTACAGGCCAGGCAGGCGCGACGGGGCCAGGCGGGCGCGACGGGGCCAGGCGGGCGTGACGGGGCGAGGCGGGCGCAACAGGGCGAGGCGGGCGCGGCGGGGCCAGGCGGGTGCGGCGGGGCCAGGCGGGCGCGACGGGGCCAGGCGTGCGCGACGGGGCCAGGCGGGCGCGACGGGGCCAGGCGGGCGCTACTGGCCAGGCGGGCGCGACAGGGCCAGGCGGGCACGATGGGGCCAGGCAGGCGCTTCGGGCCAGGCGGGCGCTACGGGCCAGCCAGGCGCGACGGGGCGGGCGGGCGTGACAGGGCGGGGGGCGCGACGGGGCCAGGCGGGCACGCTAAGGGCCGGGCGGGCTCTACGAACCGGGCGGGCGCTAGGGCTAGCTAGGGGGCGAGAGGCTAGGGCGCGGGCGGAAGCGGGTGGGTGGACCTAACCTACTCGTGATACCATGTTAGAATGGGAGAATAATGGACTAGTGTGAGAAACCTAGAACATATACCTGTTGGGGTTGTACTCACTAGAAGCACACACCAAGGCTAGCCTATAACTTCTACATACAACATATGTATAAGTTGACAAAAGCACCCTGAAAAAGAAGCAGAATCAGCGTTTTTTCCTGATATCGTGGGGAGGACCTATGAGCACATCACAGAACTGCACTAGTTCAACAATGCCGTACTCCAAATTAACAACACTAGAAACAGAGATATATAAATTTTTAAAGTGTTCACACTTCCAAAATTGTGTATTGTGAATGCGAAGCTGCTTGTAACGCAATCTCAGGCATCGTCGAAGCGCGCTATTCGCCCTTCTCCAACCATATATTGGGGTTGGAGGTCCAGGCCTCAGGATATCAGGGTAAAATACCCTTACGGCCCTTATAATAAGGGTGGGGTAGCTGTTGGACCCTTATTTTTAAAAGTGGTTTAGTTTTTGACCCTTATGAAAAAAACTAGATCTATACGGGACCCTGTTTTTTCAAAGTGGTCGAGTGTAGGGACCCTGATGCGGAAAAGTGTTGTGTAAAATCACCCTTACACAATCACACATGCGATCCCCCCCTGAAATATTTTATCCCCTTGGCAACCTGTAGATTTCGGCTAAGTCCCCCCAATCCGAGAGTCATTCCTCCTATACCCCCCGCAACCCAAGATTTCGGCTAAGTCCCCCACTGCCTAAGGCATTCCTCCCACAGCCCTCGAGCGACCCCGAAAAATTGGTGAAGTCCCCCACTCGCAGAGACAAAGCCGCTGTAGTACCTTCGCAACCCGGAGGATTCGGCTAAGTCCCCCAGTTCCAAGTGTGTTCCAGTCAGACTCGGGGGAATAACTACTTTGAAATTACAGGGTAGCCTGAAACGAAAACAAAGCCCTGGACGTGATATGTCAAATTTTCTCTTCCCCCCTACCCACTTCGGCGAGGGAATCTCGGCGACTTGAATTGAAGTTTCCACGGGTTTTTACCTGGCCCCTGCCCGCGCACGACGGGGATTCAAGTCGTCAATTTCTTCTGCTAATGGTTTACGTTTTTTTTGCTGCCACTCACCCAAGAATTCATGCGCACGGTTACAAAACTTGCCGACTTGAATGTATAATTCGTGTTGGTAGAGTCGTATCGGCCACTACATTAGCTAAAGAAATGAAAGAACAAAAAAAAAACAAAAAACAAAAAAAAACAAAAAAAAACAAACAAAAAACGAGTGCGGCACCAACGGGAAATGAGGTCGCGACCAGGAAGGGTCTAGGGAATGAGGTCGTATTTCTACAAGACAGTAATCACTACCAGCAAACCCGGAATGGACTCTGAAACGCGAAACGGTGAGGTCCGAGGGTCAAAACGCGAATTCCTGTTCGGTTCGATTTGGTACTTCGCGAAGTTTGGTTCTCTGGTACTGAAAGCACTAATGTAGAAATACGCACTAACAGCAAAATTACCGAGGTGCGACATTCCCCCCACTTCAGCGCTAACAAACAAAAACAAAAATCTTGGTGCACCCTGTCGAGTGCCACCCAAGGCACGTCGTCACAAATCTGCAACACGTCAGTCGTCTGATCACGCGAGATCCTGTACCTACAGTAAAGTGTAAGGCTGCGCTGGAGTTATACCCTTATGTGAAAAAGTACAAATATTTAGGACCCTTATATTACAAAGTAGCTTTTAAATATACCCTTACAGAAAAAGTGGCAGCAAGCGAGTACCCTTACAAGAAAGAGTACTTCTAATCCTATCCAGAGGCCTGTGGAGGTCATTCTTCCTCCACCCACGTTTTTCATTTTTCCCAGCTCAAGTTCAATTCCCGCCCACCCAACCCGCTTCATCTACTCTCTTCAACATGCACGGCTTTGGTGGATCATCCTCGGCATAGACATATCCCAGTGTAGACAGTTTAGAAAGTTTATGCTAATAGATGAATATATTGGGAACTCTTTGTATTTGATGCCAGTGGAATGAGAACGATGCCATTTGCACTACAAGTAGCGAGCTTTCTCAATTCCAATTTCCACAACGCGTGGTGGTGCAATCACAAATGAACGAAGCGCCCCCTGTGAGGCTCTCACCACTCCAGAGGTCATCACAGCTCGTCATACCCCCCCACGGCCTCTGGCTCCGTCTCAGGCACCTTCTTCCCCGTCATCTTCTCCACAAACTTCACTATCTCCTCCCTCCCGCCCTTGGCTGCCTCCTCCGCCTTGGAATACATCTCACCCATCGCCTCGTCCCTGGAGCCCTTCTTGCTGCCCTTCTTCGTCTTCTTCTTCTTGCCCCCCGCTGCTGCCTCGGCCTCCTCTCTGGCCGCCCGTGCCTCCTCTGCTGCTTTCTTCTCCTGGCCGCGCTTGAACACCTGCACAGTTGTGCAGGTGTGGGGTGTGGGGTGTGGGGTGGAGGGAGTGGGATGTAGGGTGTGGGGTGTTGGATGTTGGGTGTTGGGTGTGGGGTGTTGCGTGCTATTGCTTCTCCTGCTTTCTTCCCCTGGGAGCGCTTGAACACCTGCAGAGTTTGGTGTGGGGTGAAGTGTGGGGTGTGCAGTGTTGCGTGTTATTTCCACGGCACTTCACAACTAGGCGTGGCTGCTTTCCTCTCCTGGCCGTGCTTGAACACCTGAGGGATTGGGTGTGGGGTGTGGGGCAGGGCTCAGGTTTCAAGGGTAATAACCCTGAATAAAAAAACATGAAGAGTAACTTTGGGCTTGATTCCGGAATTTTAACGGGTAATGTTTCCTTGGAATCCGGAATTTATACAAGTGGGCAAGTGCGTTCTCCGGACGAATCAGAATTTCCCCGAGGGCGATTCCGGACGACCCCCCCCCCCCCCCCCCCCCCCCCAACGCAGGCAGCTTTGGCAGCTTTGGACGCAAAATCATTTACAAAAAGAGACACTCCCCCCCTCCTCCACCCCGACCAGGAAATTCCGGCTAAGCCCCCCACAGGCAGAGACATTCGACCCACATCCCTCACAATCTCAAAATTTTGGCTAAGTCCTTCACAGCCCTAGACATTCGACCCCCACCCCTCGCCACCCAGAAAATTAGACTAAGTCCTTCACAGTCCCAGACATTCGACCCACACCCCTCGCCACCCAGAAAATTAGACTGTCCCTCACAGCCCAAGACATCTCTCCCGCACCCCTCTCACTCCCCTAAATATTGTCCCAAGTCCACACCAAAACAGCACTGGTGAGAACGGGGTCGGGAAATTTCTCACTGAAATAGACTTGGCAGAGAAGGTACCCTACCAAACATGGATTGGCCTCGACATCACCCTGTTTCGACCCTAGGTGAGTAAGAGCCTTCCTAGCCTGTCGGGTGATTCGTAGAAAGTGCTGGGTGTGGGGTGCAGGGTGCTGGGTGTGGGGTGTGGAAGCCGAGTATTTGGGTACGGGTATTGGGTGTTGGGTGTTGGGTGTGGGTCGGACGGAAAGTGGTGGTTACTGCGTGTGGTGTGGGGTGTTGGATGCAGGGCCGTGAGAGGGAGATAACAAGTGGGGAATGCAGCACGGTGGAACACTACCTCTTCAGGCATACCCTTTTGAGTCGACCCGTTAGAGAGCGAGAACAAGAGGGGAATGCAGCACAGTGAAACGTTAATGTCCATACCTCTTCAGGCATGCCCATGCCCTTGGGTAGCTTGACGTCCTTGATGGCCGCCTGGTGATAACGCCACACGAAACCGCACCACGCCACACCAAACCGCACCGCACCGCAGCGCAGCACAGCACAGATCACACAACCAGAGGCGGAAGCGGAAACAGAGGCAACAGGGGAAGGGGGGAGAGGGAGTCGGTGGGATGAGACGAGGTCGATTAGGAATGGGAAGGGAGAAGCGGTTGAGAAAAGAAACAGGCCGCAAGAGCCTTCTGGAGGCCTTGGGAGAATCAGTTGGGCGGGATAGACACGTGGGATGGGAACAGTGGAACGGGCCGGTAAGGTATGCCTTGCCTTGGGCCAAAGGCCAACGAGTGTAGGCATGGTAGGCTCATGAGCGCCTCCTGATTGCCCTTGTACTAACCCGTTTCAAGGAGGCCTTCATGCCCGCCCTACCCCTACCACGCAATACTTGGCATCCCTCCCTTTCCCCTTGTCTCCATACTCTCCATTCTCCATTCTTTCTGGTCCCCCCCCCCCTCTCCCCAAGCTCATGGTGCAACTGTGCTGCTCACCTCATCGTGCATCCGTGCTGCTCACCCCATGCATCTGCGCATGATGCTCGAGTGGATGTGCAAGCCTTCCCCCCCACTCACTATCCCCTCTTTTCTTCACCCACCTCTACCCCCCACCTCATGTCGTGCACCAGAGGCATGCCTCACGACGAGGAGTCCAGCGGTGTTCACTTTTCCCATCTCTTGCACCATTTTCGCTCCAGTCTGGGAAGTTGGCGGGGTGACTGAAAAGACTTGCATGCTAAAGATCCCCACGATGAGCGGACGTCTTGCATGACACACTTGTTCTTCCAGTCTTCCCCCACCTCCTTCCCTCCCCACCCACCCCCCACCTACCCTCCCCCTCGGCTCCCCCCTCACTATCCCCCCTTCTCTTTTTCCCCCTTCCCCCCATCTTGCACCGCACCTCATCATGTAGGGTGCCCGCAGGGATTTTCCTTTTGGGAATTCTCAAAATTTACGCCTGGGCTTGCAGGGTATTTTTGAGAATTCTCAGAAATATCCTTTTGTGGCCCGGGTGACAGCAGGGATGCTCCTTTTGGGGAAACTGGTCATTTTCCAGTATGCCTCCCACCCTCTTCCCTCCCCATCCCCAATCTTTCCCATTTTCACTATCCCCTCCTCTCTCCCGCCCCTTCGCTGTGCCGGTTCTCCCCACCCCCCTTAACCGCACCTCATCATGCATGTGTGCTGCTAACCGCACCTCATCATGCATGTGTGCTGCTAACCGCGCCTCATCATGCATGTGTGCTGCTAACCGCACCTCATCATGCATGTGTGCTGCTAACCGCGCCTCATCATGCATGTGTGCTGCTAACCGCACCTCATCATGCATGTGTGCTGCTAACCGCACCTCATCATGCATGTGTGCTGCTAACCGCACCTCATCATGCATGTGTGCTGCTAACCGCACCTCATCATGCATGTGTGCTGCTAACCGCACCTCATCATGCATGTGTGCTGCTAACCGCACCTCATCATGCATGTGTGCTGCTAACCGCACCTCATCATGCATGTGTGCTGCTAACCGCACCTCATCGTGCATGACGCTGGTGGGGATGTTCATCTCTTTGGCCATCTTGCTGTAGTCGGGAGGGCTGTTGTCCTTCTTCTGCCAGTTCTCCCCGGGCTCCCGGCCCTGCCAAGCACAGGCGGCGAGAGGAAGAGGAGGGGGGCAAGGCGATGAGAGGTCACGCATGGGAGAGCGGCAAGGAGAGAGGGAAACTCAATTGCTGTAGTCCGCGGGTGCTGTTGTCCTTCCTCTGCCAGTTCTCCCTGGGCTCCCGGTCCTGCGGGCACAGCAGGAGAGAGGAAGAGGGGGATCATGAGCGTGGCAAAGGGAGAGGCCGCACAATTGCTGCAGTCTGGTCTGGGAGGCTCACGCCTTTCTTCTGCCACTTTTCCCCGAGCTCGCAACCCCTCAGGCGCAGGCGCAAGCTGTGCTGCATGCACGCAAGCAGCCCTCTTTCTCTCACCCCTCACACGACCCCCTTGCTCTTCCCAACTCGGGCACGGGCGGTGACTTGGTGGCGCAGGCGCGGGAGAGGTGGTGGCAGAGGCAGTGAGAGCTATGCACAGAGGCACAGTTAGTTTCACATACAGACAGCCACCCACCCTATCCCTCCCCCCCCCACACACACACACACAAACCCTCACCTTGGGCACGGGCAGCGGCTTGGTGGAGCAGGTGCGGAAGAAGGCGTGACAATGGCAGAAATAGGCATGCACGCACAGACGGACGGATGCACTGCCACCCATGGACCCACCCATGTGACTGTTACCCCATGTGGCAAAAGAGCGCGCTCACCTCGAGCACAGGCGGCGGCTTGGTGGAGCAAGCCTTGCTGAGGTCGTGGCAGAGGTAGAAATGGGCAGGCCCAGAGGCACTGTTAGTTGGTAACCCATGCAGACAGACACCCACCCTCTCCCTTCCCCCCCCCCCCAACACACACACAAACCCACACCTCGGGCACGGGCAGCGGCTTGGTGGAGCAGGTGCGGAGGAGGTCGTGGCAGAGATAGCCATAGGCACGCCCAGAGGCACTGTTAGTTGGTAACCCATGCAGACAGCCCCCCTGCCATCCCCCTTTAATCCTCTTACCTCGGGTACGGGAGGTGGCTTGATGGAGCACGCCCAGCTGAGGTCGTGGCAGACTTAGAAAAGGCAGGCACGGACGCACTGCCACCCATGCACCCACCCATGTGGCAAAAGAGCGCTCTCACCTCAGGCACGGGTGGTGGCTTGGTGGAGCAGGCCTTGCTGAGGTCGTGGCAGAGGTAGCGCTGCAGCGACGACTGCGAGGGCTCGTCGTTGAATATCCTCTCCGCTATGTCCGTGTCATAGTCCCCGATGATCTGAACGGGGGGGGAGGAGGGAGGGTGGGTGGTGAGTTCGGCGTGGGGGGAAGGGGAACAAGAAACGAGACGAGGGCTCGTTGCTGAATATCCACTCTGCTATGTCCGTGTCATAGTCCCTAATTATTTGAGGGGGCGTGGGGAAGGGAGGAGGTGGGGGGGTTGGGTGGGGGAGTGCACAGTGGAAGAGACGATGGCTTAGAGTTGAATATCGTCTCCATTATGTCTGTGTCATGGTCCTCGATGATCTGCGGAGAGAGAGGGGGGTGACGGAGGGGGGGAGGGGGGAGAGAGGGGGAGTGGGGGGAGTGGGGGGAGTGCAGTGCACGGGGGGGAGACGGGGAGGGGTGAGGAAAGAGGCGACGGCTCGTCGCTGAATATCCTCTCTGCAATGTCCGTGACATTGTCCCCCAGGATCTGTGGGAAAGGGGTGAGGGGGGGAGGGGAGAGGGGGAATGGGGGAATGAGAGAGCGGGAGAGTGGGAGAGTGTGAGAGTGGGAGAGTGTGAATGGGGCGAAGGGGAGCACGCGCAGAAGAAGCTGGGGGGTGAGGAAAGAGGCGAGGGCTCTTCGCTGAGTATCCTCTCCTCAAGAAGGCAGGCAGGGAGAGTGTGATGTGTGTGATGATGATGATGATGATGATGATGATGATGATGATGATGATGATGATGATGATGATGATGATGATGATGATGATGATGATGATGATGATGATGATGATGATGATGATGATGATGATGATGATGATGATGATGATGATGATGATGATGATGATGATGATGATGATGATGATGATGATGATGATTATGATGATGATGATAATGATGATGACTCACCTGTTGGCACGCGCGCTCGATGGTCTTGCACTCGGACAGGCACTCGCCGTCCTCCTCATGCTCCACCAGCTGACGAGTATGGGGAGGAAGGGGCGAGGAGAAGGGTTGTGAGAAGGGACAAGACAAGGCATAGGGCCTCACGCCTTGGCACCTGAGCTCAAATGGTCTTGCACTCGCTGTCCTCCTCATGCTCCACCAGCTGACGTGCTGGGCAGGGTTTGGGGGAGGGCAGCGGGAGGACAGGGGGGGGGGACCGGGGGAGGACAGGGGGAGGACAGGGGGAGGACAGGGGAGGACAGGGGAGGACAGGGGGGGACAGGGGGAGGACGAGAGAGGGACGAGAGAGAGGAGAGGGAGGAGAGGGAGGAGAGGGAGGAGAGGGAGGGGAGGGAGGAGAGGGAGGAGAGGGAGGAGAGGGAGGAGAGGAAGGAGAGGGAGGAGAGGGAGGGGAGGGAGGAGAGGGAGGGGAGGGAGGAGAGGGAGGGGAGGGAGGAGAGGGAGGAGAGGAAGGAGAGGGAGGAGAGGGAGGGGAGGGAGGAGAGGGAGGGGAGGGAGGAGAGGGAGGGGAGGGAGGAGAGGGAGGAGAGGAAGGAGAGGGAGGAGAGGGAGGGGAGGGAGGAGAGGGAGGGGAGGGAGGAGAGGGAGGGGAGGGAGGAGAGGGGATAGGAGACGGAGAGGGGAGAAGGGAGAAAGGGGAGCAAGGGGAGATGGAAGTTACTTTTCAGAATGCTACAGGTTGGGGTATGGGTTAGGATGGGGGTGAAGTGAAAGCACAGACGTTAAGCATGCATTCAGTACCACACACGCGCGCGCACATTGAGCATGCCCCGCACGCACCACACACACACACATACACACATGCACACACAAACACACGCACACACACACACACACACACACACACACACACACACACACACACACACAGACACACACACACACACACACACACACACACACCATACACAAACCATATATACCCCACATGCACCTTGAGTATGCATGCATGCAACAGGCACACACCCCACACGCACACACCCCACGCGCGCACCTTGAGCAGGGCGCATCTTGAGCAGGGCGCACCTTGAGCAGGTCGCCGCTCTCCACAATGTCGAGGCGCGAGATCCACCCGCCATTGGCGCTCTTCACGTCGCACAGCTTCTCCGTCACCTCGATCACCTTCAGCTCGCTCACCTGCCCGCCGCAGCGAGGGAGGAGGGGGGGAGATGGCGGTGGGCGGGTGGGCGGGTGGGAGGGAGGGAGGAGGGAGTGGGGAGTGGGGCGGGGGGAGTGGGGAGTGGGGAGGGAGGAGGGGGCAAGGGGGGAAGGGGGCAAGGGGGCAAGGGGGCAAGGGGGGATTGGCGTGGCAGGCGGAGAAGGGTATGCATGAGCTGGCTCGACGTCGTGATGCGTACGAGAAGCCAGCGCCGGCCGAGAAGGGGAGGGTAAGAGCATGTGTGGCGGACTCCCTCTCGCGCTCCACCTGTGTATCGAGCTGCTCGACCAAGGAAAAGAGCACGAGACCTATTCCTCTATCGCTCTACTTCTGCTACTCGTGAGGAGTCTATTTTTGAGGCACCTAAAAAATAGACACCTGCGTGTCGAGCTGCTCGACCACGGAAGAGCACGAGACCTATTCCTCTATCGCTCTACTTCTACTCGCATGCCCTGCCGCGACATCGTCGCAATGCGGAAAACGTTTTCGAAATCCCTCCCGTTACTCGCAAACATCTTCCCCAACCCACCCACCCACGCTCCCCCCCCTCCCCCCCCCCCTCCCCCCGCCCGCCTCCCCTTCCCCTCCTCCCCATTCCCGCGCACCTTCTTGGGCTCGGCCTTCTCCCTCTCGCGCTCCACCTGCGTGTCAAGCTGCTCGACCATCTTCTTGCACACGTCGCATTTTATGAACGGGATGTCCGCCTTCCGCACCGCGATCTCGTACGCCGGCTCGAACTGCGCCGCCGCCACGTGGACCGCGCACAGCACGGCGGCGAGGTGTGGTATCAAGCGCCAGGGACCAGGGCCCGCCATTCCGGGAATAACGGGACGATCGGTCGCGGAATACAGTGAACGATGGAAACGGGAGGAGACGCGTTAGAACAATGTGGAAATTGAAACTTTGCGAACAACGACAGGAAGAAATTTGGGGAGATGTAGGTAGGGAGTCTGCTACAGCCAGCAGCCTTGGAAATTGGCGCGGGGGAGGCTGTGCTGTGGTGACAATGTACAAGGGGGTGTATAAAGTGAATAGCTGGGTTGAGTGAGATTTTTCACGATTCCGAAACTGTATAAAGCTTTCCTAACCGGTAAAGTGAAGTAAGAACACTTGTAGCTGGAAGGATCTAGAAGTTGCTGACATAATACGCGACATTAAAGGTGCGATAGCGTGTCAACGAGGGTGTAAGCTGAGCGTCAGCAACACCGTGATGTCACCGATACTACGACAGATACCTTTGTGCAACCTTTTTTTCCATTTTGTTCTAATATATAGCGTAAATTCGAATCAGTCCGCCAATCAGGGTGCTTATGCCACGCTGGAAGATATGAGTGGTGCTGAGCTGTCTTCTCGCTCAATCGCAACCATCCCGGTGGTTGCATCCTCGACCATGTGAGCGGGGCAGGGCTCAACTGCTGTCACGTGCACGCCACCTTGCGGCCCAATCACATCCCGTTCTTCTCCCAGCACCACTCGCAGCTGGGCTGCTTTGTCAGGTATTCTCCCCACTGTTGGCCCACCCCCAGGGCAAAATGTGACACCAACGCAGGTTCGGCTCGGCGGCAGCAGTGCACGGCCATGCCAGCTAGGCAGGCCAAAACCGAGGCGCGTTTTCCCAAACTTGCCTGCCTGGCCTGCCAATTTGGCTCGGGATGTGCGTCTCGGACTGTGGTGGAGCATCTGCTGCTAGTGCACATTCATCGCCAGGTGCATTCTCAGAGCGTGTCACAAGAGTAGCTTTGTTGCGGTTCAAAAAGGTGCTTTGCGATCTATAGAACGGTTGGGTGGGGTTTCTGATGGAAGGTGAACTCTCACCCTGGCTCAACTGACATATTTTCTCCTAGTGGTACCTTCCTTTTTTGCCTGCAGAACGCAGCTAGTGACTGCACATTCACGCAAACACCAAATGCTTTCCCAGATCCGGAAACTATTGCGGTGCTTCTTGTGTTTCTTTTCTCCGATTCGAATACTGTACCTCGTCCCGCCGCTAGTAGCAGCGTTCGCCGAGAAGCGCAGAGAAGCTCGAGAATTCGGCGCGCAGTCCGTTAGCTACTAGGAGGCATCATTGATTAGTCGACTCAAAAGTCGGCTCGCATCATGCCCGTCACCGTTTCAAAAATCATGGCCTCCGTCCGACGACGACTCGGAGTCGTTCTCGTCTCTCCGCGCACGAGGCTTTCTTTAAGTAGTTCTATCGCTGACATTCGCCGCCGCCTCGAGAGCCCGCGCACCAGTGGCGGCAACGTGCGCATGCGGCCGCGGCGCCGCCGGAAGCTCCACCGCCTGCGGCGCCGCCGGCGCCGGCGCGAGCTAGTGGGAGTGCCATCGTTAGACGAGGAGGCGTGTGATGACTTGGAGTTTCCGAGTCGCAAGGGTTCCGTGAGCCGTGAAGTGCGGCGTATCAGTACTTCTAGTAGCCGTCCCGCAACGGCGGGGGAGAGCCCGCCGTGCGTCCCTGCCTCGTGCCCTAGTATTATTATCTTCACAAGTACCATTGCCGACCGTGGCCCTGTGATGACCTTGTCGCTCGCAGAAAAGCCGACTGCTGCTGCTGTTGCTGCTGCTGCTGCAGCGGCGACACCACGCCCTGCCGCTGCTGCCACACCGGCGACGGGGCTCTTGATAGACGCCGCGGCGCCGTGCGTTTCGGGGCGCCTCATGGAAATGCTCGCCCCTTGCTCCGACGCGCGCCTGAAGGCGCTCCGGAATTCTGGAAAAGTCCTTGAAGTCTCGGATTCTTGCGGCGCGCAAGAGAGTGCTGCTACTGGTGCTGCTGCTGCTGCTGCTGCTGCTGCTGGTGATGGTGCCGGTGGGATCGCTCCTCCGGATCTAGCAGGCCGGTTAGAGACTGCAGGGCATGCAGGGCCGCCGGATGAATCCGATGGTGAGTCACAGCCGTTCGGGACGCCGGCTGGCGGCGACGCGGGGCTGGGGCGGCAAGGAGGCGCGGCAGAATGGCGGGGCGGTGGAAGAAAAGGAGAGGCAGCGAGATACGCGGAGGAGAGTTGGAGATGTTTCGATGAGAGAACCTACCTTGATTCGGTGAGATGTGGGTTGCGGACATACAGGGAGGCGAGGGGGAAGAGGTGTGCGAGGGAGGGGAAAGGGGGAGGGGGAGGGGGCCGAGGCGCTGGGTTGGATAGGGAATTCGCTCAAATTGCTGGGTATGCGAAGTTTATTCCCCACACGCTCCACGCGCTCAGACGATCTCGCTTTGTGCATATCCTTAGTCGTTTCTTGGCTGTCGTTCACCTAAACCCCTTTCTTCCCTCTCACACTCTCCTCCCTTCCCCAGAGTGCCTCCCCCTGTCCCGCTCTGCTACCCCACTCAGATCCCCTCCCTCTCTCTGCTACCCCACTCATATCCCCTCCCTCACTCTGCTACCCCACTCATATTCCCTCTCCCTCTCTCTGCTACCCCACTCATATCCCCTCTCTCTCTCTGCTATCCCACTCATATCCCCTCTCTCTCTCTGCTACCCCACTCATATCCCCTCTCTCTCTCTGCTACCCCACTCATATCCCCTCTCTCCCTCTGCTACCCCACTCATATCTCCTCTCTCTCTCTCTGCCACCCCACTCATATCCCATCTCTCTCTCTCTGCTACCCCACTCATATCCCCTCTCTCTCTGCTATCCCACTCAAATCCCCTCTCTCTCTGCTATCCCACTCATATCCCCTCCCTCTCTCTGCTACCCCACTCATATTCCCTCTCCCTCTCTCTGCTCCTCCATCCTATCCTACAGACGGAAGCACTCCCATCAGCACGCGTGCAAGCCCACACCCGCGCGTTTGGTCCTCGACTCTCCCATCTCCCTCGCTCCACTCTCATCTCCATCACCACCTCCCTCCTCTCCCACCTCTCCCTCACACACCCCCTCAACAATACCCTCAACAGCCCTCATTCCTCTCCCCTCTCTGCTACCCTCTGCCCCGACCGCCTCCTCTCTCCCCCTTTACTCCCCTCCTCCCTTTCCTCCTCCCCCCTCTCCTCCCTCCATGCCACATCCACCCTCTCCTCTCTCCTCCGCTCCCTTCGCTCCTCCAACGCTCTCCCCTCACTGCGCCGCCTCTACTCCATCCCTCTGCTCTCCCCTCCTCCTCCCTCCTCTCTCTCCTCCTCCCCGGCTTCTCACTCTCACCATTCCCTCGATCTGCTGCTTGCCCTCCGCCCTGCCAAGAGCAAGACACCTGGAACGAACCCGTCAGCTATTTCAGCATCAGCATCAGCAACTTCGTTTTTACCCCCACCACCAGCAGCAGCAGCAACATCACTACCATCATCTTCTTCCAATAGCAGTGCCGCAGATAGCTACACAAGGGGAAACTACAACAGCAGTAGCAGCTGCAGTGGCAGGGACACAGCAGAGTGTGGCAGTCCCTTCCTTGGGATGCGCTATCGGTGGGACTGGGACGTGAGAAACACTACAAGCAACAAAATGAATGGCAGGGAGAGCACCGTCACCATGGAAAAAACATGCAGCAGCAAGAGCAAGGAGTGCGGTGAGTGCAGAGGGCGATACAGCATGCTGAGAGGAGCCGAGGGGTTGGCTGGTACCTGCACAGTGGAACTCATAGACCTGCAGAAAGGGGTAGGTGGGTCTTTGAAACAGGAAGCCGTTATCGCTGCTTCCCTCCCCCTCCCTGCTGCCTCCGCCTCTCTCCATATCTCTCTCAGACTCGGCTCCTGCTTTCCCCTCTCCCTCCCTTTCGCCCTTCTCTCCTCCCAACCGTTTCAGCCAGTATCCTCTTCCTCCGAAACCCCTACACTCCCATCAGCTCCTTCACTCTCATTATCCCCTTCCCTTTCACCCACATCATCACCCCCCAGCCTCAAAGCGTCTGCCACCACCACTCTCACCTTCGACCTCCCCTCGCCCCTCCGCGCCCTCCTCCTCCCCCTCGCCTCGCACCCCCTCCTCCGCCCCCTCAACCTCCCCTCCTTGCACGCCCAGGCTTATGTCACCACCTGCACCACTGTCGCTCCCCTGACTCTGCTACTGGGCCAAATGGGCATGGGTTGGGATGGGGCACGGTTTGCGAGAGGTGCAAGGGGTTGGGGTGGTAGTGGTTCAGGTCTGGATAGAGTTGGGATGGGTGGGAAGGGGTTTGGAAGCAGGGGGGTAGGGGGAATGGGTTTAGAGGGGGTGGAAATGGGTGGTGGTGGGAGATGTAGAGCGGTGATTGGGGAACAGGGTGAGAGTGCAGAGAGGAGTGTGAGTGTGCAAGGAGAGGTGGGGGGAGTGAGGGGGACTTTATCGAATAAACACGTTGAGCCATGGTGGAAGAGTGGAGCTGCTGGGTTTGCAAGGCAGCTTGTAGAGGGTATGCGGTGTTCAGCTGGACTCGGGCTGGTGTGTCCCACATCGTTTGGGAGAGTTGAGGTCAATTACTGCTGGCCCATTCACATGCATCCCGGAGACAGCCTTCTGAAGCACGGACTACAATTCAGGTTCAAGTCACAGATGTAATTGAGTTCAACCCCTTTCCATGATGGCTTTCCACGACTAGAAATGCCTAGTGGAAAAGTAGTTGTTTCTGTTGCAGCAAACCCAGCCATAGTAGTAGAACTTGTTGTGATATAATTGATACTTAGCATTTCTGTAAGTCGATTATGTGTAGTTAGTGTCGAATCATACTGTAGAAGATAATGTTAAAGTGAGAAATGAATAATGACTAGAAGTGAAAACCTAGAACAAATACTAGTTGGTTGTACTCACTAGAAGCAAACCTCAGTCTAGCCTATAACTTCTACATAGCTAATATGTATATGTTGACACACCCCTTAAACTAGACAAGGGGTGAAACTAAAAAAGAAGCAAACAGCTCAGGGCGGCACTACTAGTCCAACCACTGAGGCAGGGATCTGGAGACCAGTCAGCAAGAATACAACCAAAATCTAAAGCAAACCAGGATGACACTACTAGTCCAGCCACTGGAGGAAAGGCCACAAGGCCAGTCTGAAAGGCATATATAATAGAGAGTACACAATCAGGATCCTAACAGGGGAGCAGCTACAGGAACAAGACCAAGCTGTACACAGTGCCGCTGATGATCTCTGGGGGCAAGCGCCTTAGTAAAGATATCAGCTGTGTTGGCACCTGAGGCCAAGTGAACTACGCGGGCCTGGCGGCGCTGCTGTAGCTCGCGCAGGAGGAAGTACCGCAGCTGGATATGCTTCGCTCTGCCCTCAAGCCGAGGCTCCTGACACAGGAGGATCATGGCCCTGTTGTCAGCGTACAGGACTGGGGCAGAGCTAGGCCGCTCACCTAAGTCAGTGAGCAAGAAGGTCAGCCAGCGGAGCTCCTGTGCTGCCATGGCACCAGCGTAGATCTCAGCCTCACAGCTAGACTGAGCCACAGACGACGAGCGAGTGGATCTCCAAGAGATAGCACCCGAACCAAGGCTGAAACAGTAGCCCTGCGACGACCTGAGCGTCTCAGCGTCGTCTGCCCAAGAAGCGTCTGTGTGCCCAGTAAGGACCACTGGCCTGCGTCCTCCTAGCACTAACCCCATGCCCGATGTACTAGCAAGATAACGCAAAACCCTCTTAGCGGCAGACCAGTGCTGAGGTCGGTGTCTGCCTGTAGCCACAAAGCGAGCCAGGATGCTGAGAGGGTATGCGAGATCTGGGCGAGTGCAAGTCATCAGGTACATAAGGCAACCCACCAGCTCTGCGTAGGGGCCACTGGGCTCTACTGGCTCCTCAGGAATTGGAGCAGAGAGCCCATGGTCTACGGGTAAAGGTGTGGGCTGTGCGGAGGAGAACTGAAGACCAAACCTCTGAAGGACCTGACGCACCAAGTGTGACTGAGTCAGAGTGATGGTGCGTGCTACTCTGTCCCTAGAGATTTGCAGGCCAAGATAGCGACGCAGCTCTCCAAGGTCAGTGCAGGCGTGTCTCTTCAGTAGCTCAGCCTTCACAGAGGCCAGTGCGTCCCTGTCAGGAGTAGCGAAGACTAGGTCGTCTACGTAGACAAGGATGTAGAACGGAGTCTGGCCGGAACGCACAAACAGTGAAGGGTCAGCAGAGGACGGAAAGAACTGCAGGTCTGCTAACGTGGCACGTAGCGTGTCGTGTCACTCACGGGGAGCCTGACGCAGGCCGTAGACCGGGCGCCTGAGAAGCCACTGGGTCCCAGGGGGGAAGGTACTAGTGAAGCCCTGTGGTCGGCGCATGTAGACCTACTCGTGTAGGCTGCCCTGAAGAAAGGCAGTGGAGAAGTCGAGGGAGTGAAGCTCGTAGTCACGCTGTGCTGCTACGTGTAGCAGCGCCCAAAGAGTGGTCATCTTCGGGGTTGGGGCGAAGGTCTGGAAGAAGTCAACCCCCTCGCGCTGACTGAAACCTCTGGCCACGTAGCGCGCCTTGAAGACAGGCGGCTCTCCAGGGGGGCGCTTCACCTTGAAGAGCCACCGACCATCGACTACGTTCACCCCAGGCGGGGGAACTGCGTCGACGTAAGTGCCGGTGGACCTCCAAGATGCCATCTCCTGCTCCATGGCAGCTATCCACTGAGAGGCCCAAGGTCCCGAGGTGGCCTCAGCGTAGGTGCGAGGGGTCGGGATGTCGAAGGCGTCTGGGTCACCCTCAGGGACTAACAGCATGGGGCAGAGATGGGGAGCAGCCTCGGAAAGGAAAGCAAGCTCGTACTGCCTGTCCTCTAGGACGTCACTGCCAAGGGCAGGAGCACCCCCGACGGACGGAGGACGGGCAGGGTCAGAGACCAGAGCGGTAGCGTAGTCAAGGCGGCGGGTAGGGGCGAATTCAGCGACAGCAGCGACAAGCGCGTCAAGGCGCGAGACTGGAAGAGCAGGGTCCGTAACAAGAGAGGCAAGGACCCGAGGGACAAGGGGACGAACCGCACGGAGGGAGTCAGAGAACGGAGGAGGTGCAACAGCAAGGGACGAGGGAGGAGGGGACGGGAGGAGGGGAGGACGAGACGAGCGGGAACGGAGCAACATAGGGTGGGTGGGCAAGACAGGAGAGACGGGACGAGCACGGGAGGGACGGCGAGCCCAAACGTGAGACGGAGGTGTAGGGTCAGGAGACAGCGGAGGAGACACAGGAGGGGAAGGAGGAGGAAGACGGGCCGGAGACGAGTCTGGCGGCGGGAACATAGGACCGTAGACAGGAAGGTCAGCAGGCGGTAGGGGAGACATTGTCACGCGGTCCGGGGAGGGAAGGCCGAGCAAGCGGAGAGCGGAGACCGGTGGCGACGGCAGCTGCGAATGGCGACGACGGCTGGGTCGGAACTCTAGGACCAGCAGAGGCAGAACAACCGTCGGCAGAACACTCAACAGCAGCACCCCCAGAACCGACACCCCCAGAGCGAGAACCCCCTCCAACACAAGCGGCACCCCCAGAAGCCGCAGGACGAACACCCTCCTCGACACCAGCACCCCCAGGGGCCAAGAGCGGCGGCGACAGTGGCGGCGACGACTGCGGCGGCGACAGCTGCGGCGGAGGCGACAGCAACGACGACTGCGGCGGCGACGGCGGCGGCTGCTGCAGCGGGGTCGGCGACTGCGACAGTGGGGGCGAAGGCACCAGGGAAGGGGGACGCGGCAAGGACAGACCGGGGGTACCACCAGAGTCAGCAGACTCCTCAACGGGGACAACCGACGGGAGGGGAGTGACGTGAGAGACACCAGACGGGGCAGGACGAGGCGGGAGAGGGGCAGGGGCTACCAGGGGAGAGGGAGCAAGGAACAAGGGGGGGGCAATTGGGAGACCGCGGTGAGGGAAGCGGCGGTAGAAGGAGACGGACTCGTTAAAGGTAACGTCATGAGAGTGGAGGAAGCGGTGAGACGGCGGGTGATAGAAAAGCCAGTCAGACGAGTCCAGGGGAAAACCGAGGAAGACACAGGGGACAGTGCGGGCAGTGAGCTTGTCCGTGCCAGAGGCACGAACGTGAGCAAGGCAGCCCCAGACGTGGAACGCAGACGCGTCACCGGGGGACCCGGTCCAGAGGAGGGTCGGCGAAACCTGGGAGCGTGGCCACAGGTTAAGCTGATGAGCAGCGTAGCGAACAGCGAACGGCCACAGGAAATGGGGGGCATCGGCATGGATCATGGAGGTACGGGCGACCTCCATGACCAAGCCGATGCGGCGCTCAGCAACCCCATTCTGCTGTGGCGAGTCCAGCAAGGTGTACGACTGGGTGATGCCCTCCGCACGACAGAACTGTCCAAGCCGACCAGAGGCGAACTCGCCGCCACGGTCGGAGTTGAGACACAACACTGGGAGACCGCGGTGGAGACGCGCAGCCACAACCCACGGGAGAAGAACGTCGGGCACGTCGGCCTTCCGCTCTAGGGGAAACACCGTGGTGTAGCGCGTGTAGTCGTCGACGAGCACAAGGAAGTAGCGCTTACCGCGCGGTCCGGGGATGGGGGCAGGGCCCCAAACGTCCAGGTGCAGGGTCTGAAGGGGGGCAGTAGCAGGGCGCAGCGAGGAGAAGTGAGGAGCACGGCGGAGCCGGCCCTCGATGCAAGGCGTGCACGGTGGCGCAGGCGAGGGAGGAAGGGCAGGGAGCGACGCGGGGAGACCTAAGACAAGGCCGTGCTGGGACATGTGACGCAGACGCGGGAGAGCAGGGTGACCTAAGCGGTGGTGCCAGAGAAGGGAGGGGTGAGTGAGGGACCGACACGAGCAAGCTGCAGCGACCTGGGAGGACGCACCAACCGGGGGGGAAGCGGTGTCTGGGGTAAACAGACCGGACACCGGGTCCCGGGGGAACGTCGCAAGGGGGGAACCTGAGACAGCCTCAGAACAGACAGCGAACCGCTCGTGCCCAGGGAACGTGGTGGTGACGCCGAGGTCTTGGAGACAGCCGACACCAACCAGGTTCCTCGAGAACGAGGGAACGTGAATGCCAGTGGGGGAGCCCGAGGGAGCTGCCGGACAGGGAAGAGACGTAGAACTGCGCGCGACGACAGGACCCGCAGAGGGGTCAGCGAGAGAGACAACAGCAGGTGCAGCAAGCGGCGTGAGCGTGGAACGGTCGCGGAAGAAGCAGGCAGAAGCACCGGAGTCGAGAGTGAAGGACAGCGACGCAGTGGCAGAGGCCGGGGACGGAGCCGGTGCAGCGGCGAGACTAGGCAACCTAGGCAGTCCTACGCCTGACGCAGCAGGGGAAGCTAAGCTACACAACGGTGCAACACCTAAACTAGAGAACACAGGGTAATAAGATCCAGCAACACTAGAAGCATCGGAATACAAGGCATGCAAAGCAGCACCTATCTGATCCATGTCTAACTCAAAGATCGGCACGCCTTGGCGGAGCAGGCTGTGCCAGTCGGGGAGGTCCGGGGCCGGGCCAAAGCGACGACGAAAGAGATCGTCGAGGCGGCGGAAACAGCGGGCGGTCGGGTGCGGGCGGCGGCACAGAGTGCCGCGAAGAGGCCCGGTCTGAAGCTGGTACTGGCAGGTGACAGCACCGGAGCCGCCGGTAGACGCCAAGCTGCGCGGGCCGCCACCACGGCCACTACCTCCGGAGGTGCCGGGCCAACCAGGCGGGAGACAGGCCCACTGCTGCGGCGACTGCTGCTGGGATGGTGACTGCTGCTGGGGCGGCGGCTGCGGCTGGGGCTGCTCCTGCTGCGGCTGGGGCTGCTGCTCCTGCCCACCAGTGGTAGTCCCCGCAGGTGGACTACCGTCACCACCACTACCGCCACCACCCCTACCTCCCTGACGACCACGGCCACCGCGGCGTGAGCGCTGCTGCGGGTGGACCGCACCAGCCGTGTCGGTGAGAGGGGCCGCCGGGGCGACCGCAACCGAAACGTCAGTGAACGTACACTGGGAGGGGGCACAACCGTGAAAGATAGAAACTGCTGGCGCACCGCTCGACTGAGCGATTGTACGCTGGCGAGTCTCGATCTCTGTGAGGGTATCCACAAAGGCAGTGAGGGTGAGGTCACCTGGATGCTGGCTAAGGAAGTGATCGCGAGCACTAGCGAGGCGGTCTGGCAGGCGCATGACGATAAAATAGAGCGTCATGCAGAAAGAGGGGGGGAGCGCAGTGAGCTGGGCAGCAGTGCTGGCAGTGCGATAGCGGGTGTCTAGGGCACGAAGGTGAGCGGCAAAGTCTGCGACGGTAGGGAAAGCTGCAAGGTCTGGGAAAACCATAGGGAAGAGCAGGCGACCAGCAGAAGCAGACGCAGGTGTGGAATAGCGAGCAATAACAGCGTCTAAGTAAGCTTTGGCCGTCTCAATAGTAGCAAAACGCGAGCGCTCAGAGACAGGGAGGGCGTGGCTAATGGCAACCTGAGCGACTGCATCGCGGGAGTCCCAGACCGCACAGGCAAGCGCAGCAGTAGAGAAGGTCTCACGGTCATCAGAGGAGGGATCAGCAGGGAGGGGAGCAGGTGCGGGGGGGCGGGGAAGCAAGCCGTCGACATGGACAACCGAGGAGTGGCCATCCTGGCGCTGACCTTTAAGGTGGCGGCGGAGATCGGAGAGCCAGGCGGCGAAGTCAACTGCATGGCCCTCGGCGTCCAGTCGGAGCATGAAGTCCGCCATCGTGCAAGGTCAGCGGCACAGCTCAACAGGAACACAGCGACGCAGGAACACAGCGACAGCCCCCTCCAGCACGGCGGCCGCGAAGCGCCTCAGCACGGGCGAGCAGAGGAGACGAAGCCCGAGGCGGCACGGCAGGACGAGCCGAGGCGAAAGGGGCCAGGCAGGTGCGGTGGGCCCAAGCAGGTGCTGGCAGGGCCAGGCAGGCACGGCGGGGCCAGGCAGGTGCGGCGGGGCCAGGTAGGCGTGGCGGGTCCGCAGGCGCGGCTGTCACAGGATCGAATGTGTCGAGGAAAGGTTGCACTATCGATCAGTACAAGGTGCTTTTATACTTCCAAAGTACGTCAGGTAACCAGGTTTATCTTATCCTAAGGGAATAGACCCTTCTAGAAGATAGAAGAACCCTGCGTATAGCCACGCGAGGCTATTGGCTTTAAGGGATTACGGCAGGATTACGCCAGATAGCGCACCAGTACATCCCAAGCCTGGTCGGTGATATAACTATAATAGCAGGATAAACCAAAGGTGAATGGAAAATGGAGAATAGGAAACCAAATGAGATGAGATAAAAAGAGAAATGAAAATAGAAAAAGGAACAAGTGGTGTAACGGGGTCGTACTCTCACCCTTCCCCCCCTCAAAGCTGGGTGGTAGAAGTAACACCCTGCTTGACAAGGTAGTCATGCAGAGGACGACGAGCGTTACCCATGTCGGACCTAGGTACCCAGCTGTCCTCAGAAGGATCATAACCCTTCCAACGGATGAGAAGTTCCACGGCGCCATTCCGACGTCGGCGGTGTGCAAGCACGGATTCGACCTCGTACTCGGGTTCATTCTGGACGAGGACGGGCGGCGGCGGCGGCGGTTGGCGTCCGACGAAGATCGTGTTCGGATCCCGATAGGGCTTCAGAAGTTGGACATGGAAGGCGTTGTGAATCTTCCAGGTAGCTGGCAGGCGTAAGCGGAAGGTAACAGGAGTGACCTGTGCTTCAACAAGAAAAGGCCCGCAGAAGCGAGGTCGAAGATTGGATGGGAGGTGGCTGATGTCCAGGTTGCGGGTGTCAAGAAGCACCTGGTCTCCCACCGTGATGGTGTGGTCGTTGCGATGGCGATCGGCCTAGCGCTTTTGTTGCTGCTGAATGTCGAGGCGGCGCTTGTGGGTCCGATCCCAAAGCTGATGCATGGTTGTGATGAAATCATGTGCAGGTTGTACCGTAGCGGATGTGGTCGGTTTTTGTGGTGTGAGTGGGTGACGTCCGTAGCAGAGGAAGAACGGCGTCTGTCCAGTAGCGGCATGTGTGGCATTGTTGTAGGCAAACTCCAGGACGGGCAGATGCAAGTCCCATTTGGAGATGTCGTCCTTGCAGGCTGCGCGGAGGAGTTGTTCAACAATTTGGTTGAGGCGCTCGGTCTGTCCGTCTGTCTGCGGATGGTATGCGGATGACATGGCGAGTTTGGTCCCGAGAAGAGACATAAGTTCCTTCCAGAACTTGCTGGTGAAGTTAGGGTCTCGGTCGGAAATGAGTCTGGTTGGGATGCCATGCTGTGAGATGATGTGACGAACGAAGAGCTGTGCTGTCTCCTCGGTGCGTGCCGTTGTGTGCGTCGGGATGAAGTGTCCCATTTTGGAGAATTTGTCGATGACGACAAGGATTGCGTCATGACTGCTGGTGGTGGGTGGTAATCCGGTGATGAAGTCTAGGCTAACCACTTGCCATGGCTGTTCTGGAACAGGAAGAGGCTGCAGTAGTCCCGCCTCTTTCTGCTTGCTGCTCTTCATCCGCTGACATGTATCACACGAGGTGACGAATTTCTGGACGTCGTCTGCTAAGTGGGGCCAGTAGTAGTGTTTGGCGATACCGGTGAGTGTCTTGTTACTACCGAAGTGTCCGGCGTAGAGGACGTCGTGGTATTCTTCGAGTAGTTACTGGCGCAAAGGAGGGTAATTCAGTACCCAGATTTTTGTTGATCCTTTCCGGTACGCGATGTCACTGTCCCACTGTAGCAGATGTCGCTTTTCTGCCAAGGGAATTTCGGGGTCGATGGCGTACCCGTGTGTGAAGAGTCCCTTGAGTAGTGGATTCATCCCTTCAATCTGAATAGCGGCAACGTGTGCAGGTCGGCTGAGAGCGTCTGCTTTATTTTTGTGGCCGGGCTTGTACACGATATCGTAGTGGAAGTGTGTCTCGAGGAAGTCGATCCACCGGACCTGCCGCCTGGAAAGATTGGGTTGTGTCTTCAAGTATTTCAGGCTGCAGTGGTCGGTGTAGACGGTTGTTCTTCGTCCTTCGAGATAACATCTCCATGCTTTGAAGGCGATGACGATGGCAAGGGCTTCTTTGTCGTGTATCGGGTAGTTGAGTTCTGCCCCGTGTAGTTTCTTACTTAGGTAAGCGATTGGTTGCAGTCCATTCCCTTGGTCTTGCATCAAGACTGCTCCCACTGCTTGGTCACTGGCGTCAGCTTCGATGACGTAGTCGCGTTCGAGATCTGGCAAAATGAGTACCGGTGCGGACGTAAGTGCCTGCTTCAGCTGCTCCACGGCTTCCTGGTGCTTCGGCTCCCATTTGTATGGCGTGTTCTTCTTTAGCAGATTCGTGAGTGGTGCTGCGATTTTCGCATACTGTGGCACGAACCTGTTGTAGTAATTAGCGAAGCCTAGGAACTGCTGCAACTCCTTCACGTTCTCGGGTGTCTTCCACGTACGTACGGCTTCGATTTTCTTGGGGTCGACGTGAACTCCTTGAGCGCTCACCATGTGTCCTAGGAACTGGACCTTTTCAAGGGCGAATTCGCTCTTGGACAGTTTGACGTAGAATCGTTCTCGTCAAAGAATTTCGAAGACGTGTCGCAGGTGTTCAACGTGCTGCTTTATGTCGCGCAAGTAGATGAGTATGTCGTCCAGGTACACCACCACGCATTCGTCCAAAAGTGGTCGTAGAATATGGTTCATTTCGGCTTGGAACGTTGCCGGTGCGTTGGTGAGTCCGAACGGCATTACCAAATACTCGTATGATCCGTACCGAGTTCGGAAAGCAGTTTTGTGGATAGAGTTGTCCGCCATCCGTATCTGCTAGTATCCGGACCGCAGATCCAGTTTGGAAAATACCGTAGCTCCCCGAAGCTGGTCAAGCAGGTCATCGATTCGTGGTATCGGATATTTATTCTTGATGGTCTGCTTGTTAAGAGCTCGGTAGTCGATGCACATGCGCAGGCTTCCGTCCGGTTTCGGTGTGAAGAGTACTGGGGCACCGTATGGCGAAGTGGATGGCCGGATGAGTCCTTTGGCTAGGAGATACTCGATCTGTTTCTTCATGTCAGTCAGCTCCGTAGGGCTGAGCCGGTATGGTGCTCGGAAGGTCGGCTTCGAACCCGGTTCCTCCACGATCTCGTGTTGATGCGTTCGGTATGGCGGTAGCTCGTTCGGAAGATCGTCAGGAAGAATGTCTTGGAACTCCTTCAATAATTCCTTGATTTTTTCAGGAGGTTCCGAGGCTTTTTCTTTGTCATTCTCCACCTCTGTTGCTATTGCCAGGAACCCGGTGTCGGTCCGCTTCACGTCCTTCTCGAATCGTGCGAGTGTCTCCACTGGGATATCTCCAGTATCGTCCCAGTTGGGTAGCTGTACTCTCCGTCCATTTTTGTAGATGCTTGTGGTGCGGTTCACCCAGTTGATCTCGGGGTTGAATCTTTTCAGGAAGTCTCGCCCGAAGATCAGGTCAAGCCCTTTGATGTTGGTGATGGGGAGTGCAGGTCTCCAGCGCAGTGGTCCGATTTGTAGGTGTAGCACTGCTTCGCCGTATACTGGTAACTTGCTGCCGTCCACCATCGTTGCAGAGAATCCTGAAGGCTTGTACTCTCCCCGAAGTCGGTCAATTACTGCCTTGTTGCAGACGGTGTGTGACGCTCCGCTGTCCACGAGTGCTTGGAGGCGTCGTCCTTTGCAGATGACCTCGAGCACGAGGGGCAGTCGTTGCTCGGAGTACCCAAAGATAGTTTCATTGATTGGGTCATAGGGTACATCCCAATACTCCGTTAACACCTTTGTGTTGCTATCTACTCCTGAGCTGGCAGCTGGCCGAGGCTGCTTGGAGAACGGCTCTTCTCCAGGGCCCGGAGTTTCTTTGACGACTGTGCGCGTCACTGATGCCGAAGAACTGGATGCATCCGTAGGAGGAGTTCGGGGTTTGTGCAGCTTCTTGTAGACCCCCAGCTTCCTCTTGAGCTGCTTCAGCTCCACCGACGTCTTCCCTGGGGAACGGGTAGTCGTTGTGGGCTGGTGTCGGGAGAGGACGTTGACTCCGTGGACAGGTCGGCTTCTTTCCACACTCCTTAATTTGGTCCCCAGGGTTTCCGGTACCGGTATAATCTCCACAGTTGTCTGCTTCTTTTGGAGTCCCTCCCGAAATTTCTCCAAGGCTCTAGCCCCTCGAACATCATAAGTTTTCATTAAAGCATCTTTATAAGATAACTTTAACGAATTCTTATAATTTCTGGGGTCTTCACGGAGTTTCCCTGTCTCGGCAGAGTCTTTTTTCGCGGAGTCGTAATTTTCCTCGGCGATTTTCCCTGGCGAGGACTGGTCGTGGGGTGGAGATTTTCCCCCATCATTTCCTCCTTCTCGCGTCGAATCAGCTTCGTCGAAGTTGATTTTTCCGGAATCCCGCGGCCGTTTTCGGATCTTTTTATTTTCGCCAGCTAGATCCGCAATCACTGGCGACTCCCGTTTTTTGACTTCTGATTGGCTGAAAGAATTCCGCCACTGTTGCGTGCCCGATACTCTGCGCGTGCGGCCTTCATTTTGCTGCAGTCGAAGATTCGATGACTCGGCACCCCGCAAAAATCACACATGTAGTTGGTGTTTTTCGGACGTGGCCGCCCCTCGAATCTGTCGACTTCCATCGGGTCGGCGAACGTGGGGTGAGCCGAGCGGTCGCCCTGTCGCGTACTGCCGACGTGCGTCCGTCGTGTTCTGGCGTTGACCATGTCGAAGCGCTCCGCTGCCGAAACGACGTCACTGTAGCCCGCGTAGTTTGACGCTGCGACTTGTCGTTTGACTTCGGTCTTCAGCCCGGCGAGGTACGATTGTACTTTTTCCCCTTCGGTCAGATCGGGAATGCGGTTATAAAATTCCTCCATCTACTGCGTGTACTGCGCTACACTCCCGAACTGTCGGTGTCGATGAATTTTTTCCCGGGCAAGGAAACTCGAATTTATGGGCTCGAATCGTTTCAGCAGGTTGGTGCAGAACTGCTGCCACGTGGCTTCACCGTGGATGAAAGTACTGTTGCCGCCAATCCTCTCGAGTGCCGGCCCTCGCATCAGTGTCGCCGCGAGTCGTACACGTTGTTTGTCCCAGACTGGCGAGCTCCATCCGACGGCTGCGAAGTAGATCTCCATCCCGGCGATCCATCTGCGGGCGTCGGAGTTTCGATCGCTCGGATCGAACGGCTCAGGTGGGCGCGGTTTCGGAGCCTCGAGAAACTGCTGCGACTGCTGCGTCGTTGCCGTTGTCGTCTCGTGCTGCGCTCCGGCGAGTCGAGTTACTCGCTCGAACTGGTTTCGCCACGCTTCGCGATCCGCTCGCATTTCCTCCTGAAGGGCTGCGATGCGCGCGAAGAGCTGCTGGGTAACCTTGGCGTTGTCGAAGGTTGCCATCCAGTTCAAAACACGCACGGAGGGGGTAATTCGAAAATCACGGAGCTGGTGCTTACCAGAATCGGCGTCGAATTGGTCGCCCCCGGCGGTTTTTCGAGGCAGGATCCCCGCTGCTGCTGCTTAGCTGAGCGCGGTCGAGTGCGAAAAGCTCTGATTACCAAGTGTCACAGGATCGAATGTGTCGAGGAAAGGTTGCACTATCGATCAGTACAAGGCGCTTTTATACTTCCAAAGTACGTCAGGTAACCAGGTTTATCTTATCCTAAGGGAATAGACCCTTCTAGAAGATAGAAGCACCCTACGTATAGCCACGCGAGGCTATTGGCTTTAAGGGATTACGGCAAGATTACGCCAGATAGCGCACCAGTACATCCCAAGCCTGGTCGGTGATATAACTATAATAGCAGGATAAACCAAAGGTGAATGGAAAATGGAGAATAGGAAACCAAATGAGATGAGATAAAAAGAGAAACGAAAATAGAAAAAGGAACAAGTGGTGTAACGGGGTCGTACTCTCACAGCGGCGGGGCGAGGCAGGCGCGGCGGGGCGAGGCAGGCGCGGCGGGGCCAGGCGGGCGCGGCGGGGCCAGGCGGGCGCGGCGGGGCCAGGCAGGCGCGGCGGGGCCAGGCGGGCGCGGCGGGGCCAGGCGGGCGCGGCGGGGCCAGGCAGGCGCGACGGGGCCAGGCAGGTGCGGCGGGGACAGGCAGGCGCGGCAGGGCCAGGCAGGCGCGGCGGGGCCAGGCAGGCGCGGCGGGGCCAGGCAGGCGCGGCGGGGCCAGGCAGGGGCGGCGGGGCCAGGCAGGCGCCGCGGGGTTAGGCGGGCGCGGCGGGGCCAGGCAGGCGCGGCGGGGCCAGGCAGGTGCTCCGCGGCCAGGCAGGCGCGGCGGGGCCAGGCAGGCGCGGCGGGGCCAGGCAGGCGTGGCGGGGCCTGGCAGGCGCGGCGGGGCTAGGCAGGCGCGACGGGGCTAGGCAGGGCGCACCGGGGCCGAGTGGGGCGACGAGGCCAGGCAGGCCGCGACGGGGCTAGGCAGGGCGCAACGGGGCCAGGCAGGGCGCAACGGAGCCAGGCAGGGCGCTACGGGGCCCAGGAGGGGCGAGACAGGGCTAGGGGGTCGCGACGGGGCTAGGTTGGCGCGACGGGGCTAGGGTGGCGCGACGGGGCCCAGGAGGGGCGCGACAGGGCTAGGGGGGCGCGACCGGGCCCAGGAGGGGCGCGACAGGGCTAGGGTGGCGCGACGGGGCCCAGGAGGGGCGCGACACGGCTAGGAGGCGCGACCGGGCCCAGGAGGGGCGCGATAGGGCTAGGGTGGCGCGACGGGGCCCAGGAGGGGCGCGGCAGGGCTAGGAGGCGCGATAGGGCTAGGCGGCGTGACGGGGCCTAGCTAGGGTACGGGCGGAAGCGGTAGGTGGGGGATGCTAACCTACGCGTGATACCATGTTAAAGTGAGAAATGAATAATGATTAGAAGTGAAAACCTAGAACAAATACTAGTTGGTTGTACTCACTAGAAGCAAACCTCAGTCTAGCCTATAACTTCTACATAGCTAATATGTATAAGTTGACAGATAAGTCCGTAGGATGACGTCAACAAATAGCGCTCGTCATAGGACAGTCGTTTCAGTCACGCGAACAGTCGCACCCCTTCATTATCATCTAGGGCGCATAGCGCGATAGTGACGAATAGGTACATTAGCGAATAGGTACTTTTCGTAGAACTATAAATCCCTGTTAGGTCTTTTTCATTAAAAAACTTTGATTACTCACAAGTTCACGTACTCAGGTTATTCAACCTTGACCTTTACATTTTACAAGACTTTCGCTGTCTTACTAGTCTACCATTCCAGCAAAGATCCTGGACCAACACTTGAGGATTTGCCAAGTGTTCGTGTTTATAGTTTTATACTTAGTCTACTACAACACCTGCCGATTTATTTCATGGTGTGAGAGCTATCTGGAATTAAGACTACCGTCAACTATGACTGGTTCATCACCAGCACCATCTGCTGGATCAGTTACTGGGAATACTGGAGCACATGCCTCCACTACCGCCGCTGGTCTCTCAGCCTCTGGGCACTTTCCACCAGCCTATGCTAATATCGGTATGCAGAATCCGCCTTCTGTGAATACTCCAGGTGCTCCATCGACTGCACCTGCAACGCAAGAGCAACAATTACAGACAACAGCACAGCAACAAGCATCAGTATAGCCACCAGTTTCAACGCAATCGATTTCATCTGTGTTCAGTGGAATGAGCCTTGACGGCTCAAGTTACATGCGTGGAGCTACAGCTCCAAGTACTGGTTCGTTCGCTTTCTCACCTTTCGTACAGCAGCCGCAGTCGCAGCAGTTTCAGCATCCGTTCTATATTATCGGTCGTTCCCCTGCTCAACAACAACAACAACAACAACAACAACAACAACAACAACAACAACAACAATAACAACAACAACAACAACAACAACAACAACAACAACAACAACAACAACAACAACAACAACAACAACAACAACAACAACAACAACAACAACAACAACAACAACAACAACAACAACAACAACAGCAACAGCCAGGCATTGTTTTTCAGCCTCCAAATTTACTTATCAATACTCAAATCAAGACAACCGTACCTTTTAATGGTGTTGACTTCTACTCCTGGAGCTTTGAGTTTGAGCTTCTGGCGCAGTCCGCTGGGCTATGGCCGTTCTTCACTGGCGAATTTACGTATCCTGTCGTGGGAACACATATGGAGCAGCAGAGTTTCTTGCACGCCTCTCTCGGGGCGTATACAGTTCTTGTATGAAACCTGTCAGCGAAGGAGCAGCTCGGCGTTCGATCATTTCACTCAAGTTTTACACCAGCCGAAACTGCATGGAACCATCTGAAATACACATGGCAAAAGATACGATAACAGTGAGTAAAATACTTTCGCAGCTGACAAGTGTGCAGATGATGACAAATGAAAACGTCATGGACTACATTAACCGCGTCCGTACATTACGTGACCAACTGGAGAAGAGCGGAGGATACTTCCCTCGTGAGATGTATCTCACTGTCCTTCTTGCTGGTCTTGGACCCGAATGGCGACAGACGCGCGCCTTCCTGCGCATGAATCCCAACCACTCCGAAGCTGAAATTTCTTCTTATCTTCAAGCAGAGCAGCAAGATCTTGACCTGCAGTCACAACGCAACCAGAAAAGGGGGGTTCATTTAAGTTTTTACTCCAATCCAGAAACACAACATCGACATCCACCAAAGTATCCGTTCTGCCATTTCTGTAAGAAACCAGGACATACTTACCAAAACTGTCGCAGCCGTCATCAAAATCGTCGCAATACTTCGCAGCCGTATCAACGATCGCAGCAGTTACCGAAGACACAACAGCCATAGCAGCAGTCAACGTCTCAGCAGCAGCAGATGCCGAAACCGCCGCAGAATCCATCGACGTCGCAGCATCGTCCGCCGGTCTTCGCATGTGCCACATCAGGAAAAGGGGTTTTTGGCTGCGTCACCACAGTTGATGTTTCAGAAATAGATTTCGAAACACGACTTGAAGAAACAACAAGTGCTGAAGGCATTCCTTTACCTCAAGTTTACGCTAACCTTGCTCGCATAATTTCAGGACCAAATACCAGGTATCTCGACAGCTGTTGCGGATGGCATATGTGTTCTGCCGAAACAAGCTTTATCACTAATCAGCGTCCACTTCGTCGTCCGATACCTGTCACAGTCGCAAACGGACAAACGATAATGGCACGATCAGTTGGCAGTGTCATGCTCGATTCTATCGACACGGGATACTCACTTCATGTTACGAATGTTCTTATCGTCGCCGGACTTGGCTTCAATGTCACAGGATCGAATGTCCCGAGGAAAGTTTTGCTCAATGTTGCACTATCAATCAATACAAGGTGCTTTTATACTTCCAAGATACATCAGGTAACCAGGTTTATCCTATCCAAAGGGAATAGACCCTTCTAGAAATAGAATCACCATGCGTATAGCCACGCAAGGCTATTGGCTTTAAGGGATTACGGCAGGATTACGCTAGATATAGCGCGCCAGTACATCCCGAGCCTGGTCGGTGATATAATCATAATAACAGGATAAACCCAAGGATAATGGAAAATGAGGAATAGGAAACCAAATGAGATGAGATAAAGACCAAATGAATGAGGATAATAAGAGGAATGAAATAGAAAGGAAATATGGAAAGGGGAAATTGGTGTAACGGGGTCGTACTCTCACATTCAACCTTCTTTCAACGGCTCAACTCCTGGCACACAAAATCCGTACACAAGGAAATTGTGAGACGATGGATCAAGAGCTCTGGCACAGTACAACCAATACCTACCTTGGTCGTGCCGCCACTCAACATGGCGTATCGGTACTTCAGTTCGCAGCACAGGGAACTTCTGGCGATTCTGAGCGCGTCCTTGCACTTGGTCCCTGGGATCATCTCGAAGAAACAAATTATCAAAACGTGGACATTGATTTCCGCGCAACTTCAGTACCAACAGCTTCTCGAACAGCAGTCGCCGTACTTACCGCGTTGGATGCCTGGGAGTTCAATACAGCCGATGAAAGCGCCACCGCGTGGCGAACGTTTTATAATACCCGTGCAGCCTTCCAAGGAACTCCAGCACCACTTTGGGAAGAGATAAGTGGTCTTGCAGCTGATGAACGTGACGTCGTTGAAGAAGCAGAACAGGAAGCAGTAGCTGAGCAGCCGAGTCCAACCGTAGCTGTCGCCGAAACACCTGCTACGACATCAACAGAAGCAGCATCAACTGTTGCAATCACAACTGTAGTCGCACCAACGACTGTCCCATTACCACTTACACGTTTCGTTGAAGGAGATGTTGACCGCTCACCAGCGCTATCTCCTTTTCTTATTTCTTCTTTTTATACCAACTCCGATTTCTACCTGCAATCATCAGGTGACAAAGCATCAGAAGATATATGGCATCAGCGGCTAGGACATCCATCACAAGGGATTCTTAATCATTCAATACGAGCAGCATTTCTTGATAAAAATAGTTTACTTCTACCTGATGGCACGGAGATGAAGCCGCAGTCTCGTCCGACGGTTTGCACCACTTGTCCAGTTGCCAACCTTACGCACAATCCGTTTCCAAGTCATTTTCCCGGCTCAACCCGTTATCAACTGATGCAGAAAGTCTACAGCGACATACTAAACTTACCTGAAGCAGGACCTCAAGATAAGAATTACGTGATAACATTCATTGAAGCGTCTACACGCTACGTCTGGACAGCAAACCTTCCCGCTCTTCATCTCGCGCACTCCATTTTTGTCGCGTGGCTCGCTGTCGCTGAACGAGAGTCAGGAGTGAAACTGCAAGAATTTCAAAGTGATGGTGCAGGGGAGTACACCAGCAATACCTTCACAGAGTACCTTCAGACCCTCGGCATCAAACGGAAGCAGTCACTACCTCATGCACACCAACAGATGGGGGTAGCAGAAAGGTTGAACAAGACTCTGCAGGAGAAGATGCGTGCTCTGCTGACGCAGGCAGCACTTCCACTGCGTTTTTGGCCGTATGCGATGGACCATGCCGTGCTGTTACACAATCTTCTTTCTTCAACGTCCCTGCCCGAGTTTTCCTCTCCGCACCTGCAGTGGACACGTACAGTTTGAAGCACAAAACTTTTATGAGTTTTCGAGTGTGTTGTACAGTTTCGTCCTCCAACTGCAGCACTCAGAAAATTTTCCGAACGAGCAAAATGGGGGGTACACCTCGGCATCGAAAAACAGTATCACGCGTGGAAAATTTTGGATCTCCGCTCCAACCAAATCATCCCATCACGTGATTATCTTTTCTATGAAAGACTCACCTTGCCCATTTTTCGTGCCCACCAGGCAGCAGCTGCCAACCCCGCCGAGCTGTTCGAAGGCTCGCGTGCGTTTGCCACTGACGAGGCCGAAGCTGATGTACAGGACGAAGTAGTTTCTGAAGCATCCGAAGCTGCCGCAACTGACATTCCCGAACCTGTAACATCGACAGGCATACCAGAGTTTATTCCTCTTGCAGATGCTGACCCGGATGACGTTTGCGAAGTTCATCTCAGTTACGAACGTGATCGCCAACAACATCCGATGCCCGTCATCTCCGACGAAGCAGTTCGTGTTACACTTGACGAAATTTGGGGGGAAGAAGGACCAGAAGAAAATTTCGCAGGTGCAAACGAAGAACGTCCGCGTTGTACAGAAACAGGATTGCAGATACTGGGATTTGCAGTAGCAGTACAGTGCAACGACAGTAAGATACCTGAACCGAAAACCGTCCGACAAGCTCTTACAAGTCCTCACCGAGAAAATGGCGCGAAGCCATGGACAAGGAGCTAGCAGCACTCAAGAATCGTGGCACATGGGATTTAGTACCGACTTCATAGGCCAAAGGGAAGAAGGTACTTACCGGGAAATGGGTCTTCCGCGTCAAGACTAATGCAGGTGGATCCTTCAAAGCGCGATGGGTCGTCCGCGGATTCGAACAGACTTACGGCATCGACTACGAGTTAACCTTTGCTCCTGTCGGCCGACATACAAGTGTTCGGATTCTTCTTTGTGTCGCTGCCTGCCGTAATCTACGTCTTCGTCAAATCGATGTCTCGAATGCGTTTCTCTACGCGCCTGTCGACGCACTTATCCTGGTAGAGCACCCGCATTCCTATACTACTAACCCACCGAGTGTTTGCCGTCTACAAAAATCCCTATACGGCATTAAACAGGCACCACGGCTCTGGCAGCAGTATCTCCACTCACAACTGATCACTGCCGGTTTTCGTCAATTACCGCATGACCTAGGAATGTATCTACTGACCGACGGCAACAACTATATTTTACTCGTCGCCTACGTCGATGACATCCTATACGTCAGTACTACCGATTCTCTTGCCAAGACCTTCATAATGAAATTACAGAAAAATCTACAGCTTACCGTATCCGAAACAGTCTCACAGTTTCTCGGTCTAAATATTACCTGTTCACCGACAACTATTCATCTCACCGCTTCTAAGTATGCAGCAACACTCGCTGCCCGCTTCAACCTCACACCTACTGCAGTCTCTACACCGTACCGCTCACTACCGACTGACCACAAACCGAACACCGCACTGTTAACTTCAACCGGTTTACAGATCTATCAACAACAGCTAGGCTGTCTACTTTTCGCCGCTGTCACTTGTCGTCCTGATCTAGCCTACGCGGCCAGTCAACTCGCACAGTTCCTACGCCATCCTGAGGATTAGCATCAGCTTGATCTTCTCCGCGCGCTTCAATATTTTATCTCGACACCTGACGTCGGTTTAGTCTACAACGTCATCGGTGGTAAAACACTCTACCTACATGGTTTTGTCGACGCCGATCACGCTGCTGATTCTACTAATCGATGGTCGCGCACTGGGTTCATCTATCGACTGGAACCTATCGGACCTATCTCTTGGAATTCTACGAAGCAGGAGCTGATTGCACTCTCCTCTGCTGAAGCTGAGTTTATTGCTGTCTGCACAGCAACACGCGAAGGACTTTACTTACAGGAACTATTGGAAGAAGCGAAGTTGACGACAACTACCCAGTTTACCCTACAGTGCGATAATCAAAGTGCAATTCGCATCGCACATCAACCTGGTTTCGTCAACAGGACGAAGCATATTTCGCTTCGTTATTTCTTCGTCAAAGATGAAGTCGAGAAGGGGAGGATGCGTTTGGTCTACTGTTCTACCAACGAAATGGCTGCTGATTTTCTCACGAAGAAGCTGAGACGACAGAAGTTTCAGTACTGTAACAAGCTCTGCGGAATCTTCAAGAAATGACACTATCGAACTTCTAGAAATGAAGGGGAGTGTTGTGATATAATTGATACTTAGCATTTCTGTAAGTCGATTATGTGTAGTTAGTGTCGAGTCATACTGTAGAAGATAAGTCCGTAGGATGACGTCAACAAATAGCGCTCGTCATAGGACAGTCGTTTCCGTCACGCGAACAGTCGCATCCCTTCATTATCATCTAGGGCGCATAGCGCGATAGTGACGAACAGGTACATTAGCGAATAGGTACTTTTCGTAGAACTATAAATCTCTGTTAGGTCTTCTTCATTAAAAAACCTTGATTACTCACAAGTTCACGTACTCAGGTTATTGAACCTTGACCTTTACATTTTACAAGACTTCCGCCGTCTTACTAGTCTACCATTCCAGCAAAGATCCTGGACCAACACTTGAGGATTTGCCAAGTGTTCGTGTTTATAGTTTTATACTTAGTCTACTACAATACCTGTCGATTTATTTCAGAACTAAGTCTCAAAGTAGAAGTTGTGTCTATGTTGGAAATACCTCAAGGACTTAAGCGTTTCTTAACACCACACTCGAATGAAGCCGTATCGAGTATGCGAGTCAACGGAGGTTACACGAGGAGGTAAGACGAAAGAACACGAAAGGACGAAAGACTCGAAGGGTCGCAACCGGAGGTTGCGACTGACCGTTACAACTGCAAGGGTGGTAACCGAATCGACCATCGAGTCGCTGTGCGAC